AAGCCCATTTTAGCTTTCAACTTCAGAAAAAGGGTGTTTCCAGGAACCAAAACAGGGCGTTGTCAAAATTTTTTTGCGTCTTCGGTGCAAAATGAGGAGCCGCCAAGGCGTTTGCCACTGGGCCCGTTTCGCCTAACGACAGCCTGGATCGTACCGTGAAATGTGGATCGTACCATCAGATGGGGGCCTATTATAGGAGGAGCAAAAGCCGCAGAACCGTGCAAAAATCAACTAAATGCCGCAATCCGCAAGGAAATTAAACGCGAAGACGCGGCCGCGATAGCAAAAGAGGCCTTATAAAGGGTTATTGAAATATGAAGTAATTAAAGTTTTCTGGGAGAAAATATGACTATTTAGATTTTTTGGTTTTGAAATAACAAAATAACTGAATACATCTTTGAATGTTGAATTATCTATTTGATAACAGCATTGACTCAAGTGACTTTTGATATGTAGAGCTGTTAGGATACCATATTACGACTGGGTTGCTTTATTAAATTTTTCAAATTTGTTTGGGGCATTTTCTCACAGGAGGCGCTTAAAAGAAGAGGCGGCTTTTCATACCTCATGATAAGTAAAAAAGCCAATAGCATAGAATCTACCGCAAATTGTTTTGGCCTATATTGTGTCATCAAAATAGACAAAAATACCAGATAGCATCATAAAAGTGTTTTTATCTACCTTAATTGCTCCACAACTTTATACTATGAATTCTTTCTAATACAACTAAACAACAGTTTTGTAATCCATTTAAGTTGCAGGATTGATATGCTGATAAAATCTGTCTTCTAAATTTTCAAATCTCCAAACAGATATTGTTCATTTTTCAATTTTTTTTATCTGAGTCTAGACATATTTCCCGCGAGGTTATTCTTATTTTAAACAAATTAAACGAAGACTGGCCACTTCAGGTTGTACCCTCCACGCAAAAGACTTTAGGCTATCAGTTTTGATACATGTATGTTTTTCGAGTTTCTTTAGTTGTTCCCCAAAAACAAGTTGAGCAATACAAAGGTGGATTTCTCATCCAGTGTCCTTAGATTCCCCTCAAATGTATTAAAGGATCACCACAGTTCCAAAGAGAATCAAAATTTCGAAATACTTTACTTTGGTAATTTTAAATATGAATTAATTGTAAGATATCATCATGAATTATGAAATAATGTCGTCCCCTCTTATAGGGCCTCGCAAAACATCACGAGACACCAAAAGCCATCTACTTTAAAATGGGGATAAGAAGTAACTGTTTCAAATGGTCCTCACTATATTTCGCAGCAAGCTATCGTTGTATCAATCCAAACATTTTTAAACATCTATTGACACATCAACGTGTTTGTACCCAAGTATTTTTCACATCCCAACTTTTTTTAGAATACCTAATTTTTGCAGAGCCACAACATTTTTCAATTATTAAAACTAGCATTTTTCTTGCTTTGAACAAAACTCAAGTAAACCAAAAACTTGATTCTTGATGAAGCTTGAGCGTTGCATTATTCTTAAACTATTCTTAAATTTCAGCGATTTAAAGCCTTAATATTCTTATAGACTATTTTCTTATAAAATGTGTGTACCCTGAATCATATGAATGGATTAAAATTCGAAGAAAAGCTAGCCCTACTCAAGCTCTACTGAATAAATCGGTTATTAAACCTCACTGCGAAACCAAACTGTGCCCTGAATCTGAGCCGACAAAGAAGATAGCCTCTCTTGCTAGTCGACCCGTCCTTGTATCACTTTTCTCGCTTCTTAGAAATAGAAACAGTTGCGTGAGTTATTGAAAAGTTAATTGAAAGCTGAAAAAATTGCCTCTGCAGCTAGATAAAATCCAATGCATGAGCCAAAAAATACATTTATTGCTATGTATATGAAAAATTAGAATTTTTTGCTCAATTGTTTATCGACAACAATACGTCCTTAATCTTAATAAAACGTCTCGACAGATTTACCACTGGGGACAGCACCATGGTTGCCGTAGAAGGATGAAAAATCATTTTGAGTATAAGTGATTCAAGTTCACTGGAAAATGGACCTTTTGAAGCAATTTTGCCTTTACAAAAAAGTTAGATGGTTTCTTTTTATATAGGGACAGAATCTCTCACATTGAGTGGTTGGGATAAAGTCTTGATATCGGGACTAACAAGGAAGGCTGGGAGTTGGGAATAAAAAAGGAACATTTCCATAAATGCTGAAATTGGTTTTGCCGAAAAGCTCCATAGGGGAGACCATATCTTTGGTACAGTAGTCTTTGTGCTCCTTGAATTATAAAAGCTGATTCAATGTTTTCGCTTACCATATCATTGTTATAATCCAATGTTTTCACTTTACATGTTAGAAGATTAGACAATTTCATCCCCTCGTGCTAATTTTAAATATTTATTTATTTATAAAGATTTTAAATACTTCCTTTCTCTTGGCTCTCTCCTCTAAAATCCTGGTTATTTTCTTAATATAATCAGAAATGTTTCAAATAAGGTCCTCGTTTCCATTGAAGGAACTATGTCACAGAACAGAAATTAGGCAGAAGGGGAACTCCTGCCTATCAGGTGAAGCCTGAAGAAACTTGCGCCTGGGTTAACTTATACGAGGCTTAGAATGTCGGGGAAATTTTAAAAAAGAATGAAAGTAGACAACTTTATTTGAGACGAAATGCCCCATGATAGTGAACAAATTCAATTATGTATCATAATTCGTTTATATCTGATTAATGAATGATAATTTTGTCGTGACTAAGTTCGTCTAATGAAATCGAGGTTAAAGGGGAACTAAGGAATTCTATTGTTGACTCAGGCTTCAAAAACAACAAAGGAACCGACGAGAGTTACCCTTCTGCCTACATCCTATTCTGTGACTATGTTTTGTTTATTTTGATCTCTTCGTAGCGGGAGGACGTGATTGTAAAAACTCTGCCATATAATTCCTATCATAAAATAAGTGGAAATGTAAGGAGGTAACATAAGAGGTTGTATAAAGTTTTTGGCAAAGATATTAGATGATTTTATATTGCTTGATAGTTGTATCAGGTTGTGTAAAAGCTATGACAGTTCAGATAAGACAGAGTCATCTATATAAATTTTTGCAGCTTGTACATACATGTAAAGGTTGTGCATTCGGGTAGTGATAAGTAATGTAAAGCTTGGTTCAAAAAACCTGTTAAAGCACAACTTGGTTATAATTTTGTTTTCTAAATATGTTGCGCGGCCCCTTAAGTTTACGAGCAGATTATGATACCATATAAAACCTCAGCCTTCAAAATTTTTTGGGGCCAACTGCCACCTTGGCCCAGCTCGCTTTGCAAGACCATGTCAACAACATTAGGATTGATGGTTTATTCATTGTTTTAAATTTTTTAATGATATCCAGTTCAGTTATATCTAGTTGCCTTGTCTGTAAAACTATCTTCTGAAAATTCCCTAGTCATGAAAATTACGTCAACCCCTATTATTGTGAATTAATTGGGACTGACCATCCCATGAATCATTATGAAAACTTTACGTAGATATTTTGTCCGCCTTGCGGAGACAATGTTCTTCGAAAACATTTGACTCGTGTAAGAGGCCCAGTGGGAGGTACGGCCCTGCTTACACGGCCATAGCAAACACGTAGCTGTAGGTGTCGGCTAGGGGGGGGGGGCAAACTCGACCAAGAACCATACCTGAGGGAGGCAGGCTTTAAAATAAGAAAACAGATACATAACAAACAGATATATTTGGACAAAATCAAGGTCATGGATTTATAAATATGCCAAATTTTCAAAATATCATTTGGAAAAACTGTAGCCAGAGGGGGAAAGCTGTTGTCAAAGTTTTCATTTGGGGGGCACCGTGCCCCCCTCCCCCTGCAGCTAAGTGGCTGGGCCATAGAGGTACCAGTTACACTATATCACTGTGTTATCCTACCTCTTTGGTATGGGCACTATTGTTTAGATTTCCTCTCCCTCTTTTGTTCTAACTGACAGCAATGACTTACAGTAGCTTGTCCATTCTTACGTTACTCCTATTCGACATGGAGCTCTTTTCAAAACCTTTGGTGTAAAGTGAAAAGCCTTGCCGCGGACCGTCTTTCATTTGAAAGCCGTAACCGTATTATAAAAGCCGTAAACCGTTGCGAATTTATACCGAAAGACGCAAGACGCACCTTTTGTTGAAACCGCAGTCCGTAGATAAACCATTTTAGTAAATGTTGTTGCTTAGTTGTATTTACTAATTTAGTGAAAAACCAAAGAGAAACTCTCCACGTGTGTCTCTGTGAAACTTTATCATCAACTCAATTAAAAAAAAGCTTTGTACAAACTCAATAGTTGATAATAGAGAGTTATTGAATTTAATACAAAAGGAAGAGAAAAGAGCTGGATGAAAACAATAGGGCTAAAGAATTACTACGCAAGTTGAAAACAAAAGGTGTTGTCTGCTATTGTTTTGTGAGTTCACTACAATAGCCCCCTCCTTAGAATGTGAGTGGAGCAAAACAGGCGATTCAAACTCGTTGAGTACTAATACGTTGAGTCCGGAGGCCGCAAGTAAAAATAGGGTCCAAGCCGTGAAGCCGCAAACCTATAGTAGGCCACCTCAGATACCAGGGCATCGTCCTGTTACGTCACGATATAGTTTGAAAAATTTGACGACTCGATCTATGACATCTTCCCACGATCTCTACGAATCATAACATGATTGGTGTTGTATCGTGGTGATTCATAGACTGTCCCATCAAATCAACAATCATCTATTAAATCACCTAATGATAATCATTTTGCTTGCTTGCTTGGTTTGATGTTAGGTTAGATAGCAACAGACAGAAGTGCTTATTGCAGAGGTAACATGGTAGAGATACCCCTGAACCAGGTTGATCAAAGTTTCGATTTCGGTATCCGTAATCAATTCCATTTGCATGCTTTAAGTCTGAGGGGGCAATTTATAGAAATGGGCCGAATGACACCGAAAAACCTACCTTGCCGATACAATTAATGTACGAAAACATTTTTAAAAGCTTGCAGGACAATTTTGGAGCGATCATTTTGTTGTAAAGTGTCTAGCGCCATCCAATTTCATCAAGAGAAACGAAATATCTTCGGCATTGACTAAAGTACAATTTATCGAACATATAGAAGAACCAGAGCACCGTCCGCCATTATTCCAATGTGCAAAACGCACAATGTCCCGTGTATTTGGTTTGTTTACAAAACCAAATACAGCCCCCTGTTTCGTGACAGTCCTAGCCTTTAAGCCCAATCTCCAGTGAGAAAAAAAACTGCGAAATGCGAAAAAGTTCGCGCGAAATACGTCTTAGGCATGCGCAGTAATCTTTTGCTGGGATTTCTCGCGAAGAATTTCTCTGCGAAAAAAAATTAAACTGAGTTTAAAGCCCAATCTCCAGTGAGAAAAAAACTGCGAAATGCGAAAAAGTTCGCGCGAAATACGTCTTAGGCATGCGCAGTAATCTTTTGGTGGGATTTCTCGCGAAGATGAGTTTAACTTTTTTCGCTTTTCGCTAGCGAAATCCTTCAACAGCCAATGATATTCCGTATTCCTTTGTCATGCTTCCAAACTTTACATTCCAATGTCGTGAGGTCAACAAAAGCATTCAAAGGAATTTGTCGCGTGAAGTAATTCGCAGCGAAATTTCGCAAGACTTTTTCTCACTGGAGATTGGGCATTGTTTATGACGTTGTTTGGTTGCATGATACGTGCATGATGATTGCGGACATGCAGTAGTAGTAAGAGCCGGTCGTCATTCACTCGTTGGCAGGACAAGAGGGTTTTTTAAGTATGGCACACCAGTTTGAGGAAAGCTCTTCGGTTGAAGTTATTAAAGATGATTTTAAAATCCGAGATCTGTTTGATTCCAAAAAGGATTTGCTATTAAAACAGGTTTGCTTGTCTATTCATTTTTTCTTGTTTCGTTTGATAAATCACTGCTTTCTATCATAAAATCAGAATTATCAATTAATTTCACTTCGAACACATGGACTGAAAACTGGTAAGTGTGTGGTGAAACATGTAGTTATTCTTATCAAATTTGAGCTATGCTGAGACAGGAAAATCACACCTCAACTTGCTCTGTAATTGCCACACATTTATAGAATTAAGATCTTATTAATGCTTAACTGGTATTTAAATTTTGCTTATTCTGAAAAATTAGTGACCTGGGCAGGGGTGTAATATTAGGGTTAGGGGATTTAGGGGGAGCTGAGGCCCATTTATTTTTATGCCCCTAAAAGCAGTCAGTTTCTACATTCACTAATATTTTTTATAAAATGTTGTACAAGAGTCTGACCTTGTTATTTTGATAGCAATTCCTAGGAAATTACTAGACATGACACCAGCATTTGACATTGCTGAATCGAGAGCATCGTAGAAGCTACTGCGTTCGCTGTAAAAAGACACTTTCCCAAACTGGAAATTAAATGAACCCAAAAATATTTCACTGGGGTGCTTTGATTGAATTTTGGTTGTAACCCTGCAATGACATGAAAGTCCCATCGGTGCTGTAAATCGAGATAATGATATTCGAAAATAAACAGACTTTGCCTATCAAGCACCCTGGCAGCAAGCGCCGTGCTGTTTCCTCAATCCTAAAGTTCAACCGTTTCGTCAAACTTTCTCAGCAATCCAATTAAGACTTTCCAAGAGCTACCAGGACACAAAATCACTAAAGTATACTGCGGGCTAAGCATAACAAAAATGTTTGTGGCCCCTTCTCTCTCATCACAACGAGTGACCTTTCCAAGAATCGATCGTCCAAACTGCTGCAAACTGCGCAGACTCATAAAATGCACGTTAGCTGATTGGCCATCAACATTGGCCAACAGACAAAAGAAAACACAATGGATGGTCTTCCTTATATCCTCAACAACATAGCTTTTTTCTTTAAGGTTTTTGTTGGAAACACGAACAATGCCGGTGTCAAGTTCAACCTGTTTGAAAAGCCAGTCTCAGCCAGATATGTTCAATTCATTAAAAACAGCAATGTATTATGGGATAATACGTTGACTCTTGAGGTTTATTATTGAAGTCCTCCATTTCCCATTCTGAATCATTCTTTGCCTTTCTAACCATACTGATTCTTAAACTTTCAGGCAATTTGTCGAGAAGTGCAGGTACCACAATACAGGAATAAGAGCAAGAGTCCACTCCATGCGCTTCAAGGCCTCTGAAGTGGGTCTCGATTGCATCATAAAAACTTTGTAATCGAGGCCAGTCACGCTCACTGTAAATAGGCTTCAAGCTCATCAATTCGTGAATATGCGCCCTCTTGATAACAGCTGGTTTGGCAACACGTTGTCGGAGAAGTGTCTTTGCGGATTCATGATTCGACTCCGTCAGTTTAAATCCAGCCACAACAAGAGACGCAAATACGCGAATTTGTCGACAGCGGCTAGTTCGTCGTTGTCATCCACATAACTTTGGAAACGTCCCAAAACTCCAGCCACTCGTAAAACTTCCCGCTAAATTTCTTCATCTCAAGCTTCGGAAGCTGCGCTCGAACTCTCTATGTATTTATTGTTACCGTCGAACTTCCAGATTTTACTGAATCTCTTCTTTCTTGAGAAGGCTTTGGTTTAAATGTGTCGATTATTTTCTCCACTTTCATCAAAACTTATTTCATGTTGCGCTGAAACTTGCTGGCATTCCTAGCTTCCGTCAAACACAGCTCTTGATCGTCATCTGTGCTCAAAAGATCAAAATTTCATCGTCGAATTTCTTCACTTTCTCTAACAGGTCTCCTAACTGTTCCTTGAATACCTTCAATCCACTTTCGTCAAAATCTTTCTGAATAAACTCATCTTTCAATTCTGCTGCCACGCCCCGAAAACTCTCGCGTTGAATTATTTTCCGTCTAATTTCGCTCATCTCCCTCTCTTACTGACACAGTAGTACGTCAAAATCCGGTTCGATTGTCCAAATGTTGCAAACCTTTGCTGGTTCAAATCGAATACTGTGCAGAAACACAACAATCAAGAGAAGGTCATTTTGTAATTCTTTTCAATTATCTTAAATTCTTTTACGTCTCAACATCATACTGTCTCAATCCAACTAACTCAACCAGTGCTTCCACTATTCAAATTTAAATTTCCTTAAAGGCATTGAGTCATGGTAAATAGGCTTTCTCTATAGGGGGTCATTTGGTTTCGGCGTGATCGCTGCTGTTTCATGTGATATTGGCATCCGTTGTTGACAACTTGATGGAAACCACACCGTTATTGATGGAAACTGTTATGTTAATCAGTACGAGGTGAGTTCATGTGACCAGTTCAAGGTCAGCCAATAGCATCGCAGTCATGGAAATCATGACTCAGCGGATTTTGGCACTTAGGGTATACCCAGTCTATTTATCATGACTCAATGCCTTTAAAGCGAGGATGAAATTTTTCAAAATTCCTTCAAATTCCTTGAACCGCAATTCTATTTTCTTTGAGTATTTCCTTGTTAGTTTTATCCCAAAGATTGGTCATGCCATGACTAACAGTTAGTATGCATCTACAGATTTTGAACGATTAATGAATAATTCATTCATTTTATGCTTTAAATGACCATTTGAATGCTAATCCCAGAGCCACTTCCAGTAATCCCAGAGCGACCTACAAATGCCACTCAGAAGATTCATCAAAGACATGGCTCGTGACTTTTCTCGTGATTTTTGCGGAGGAAAACTTGAGTTTGGTAGATCTTGATCTTTGCTTTATCAAAAAAGTGAAAATTTCCTTGTGTTTGACGTAGCAGCTTCGACTTTTCGTTTCATTTTGGCCCCTTAGCTCGCACAAGATTCATAAATGCGCGTCGGATTTGAAGATATTGTGAAATGTAAGTAAGAACATTGATCGATGCATTTGAAAACATTACTAGACTCGAAAGATAAACATTTTCACACTGTTTCATTGAGGAAATCTATTAGATTTTAGATATCTGTGATATCGTGTTTGCTAACAAATCATATACAGTCTTACGCTCATTTCAATGCTGCTGTAAATACTATTAAGAAACATATGCTTTCATCCAAAAATATTTTTTTTCGAGAAACATCCTAGGGGCCCCTTCAGGGCCCAAATAACAAGAGCACATTTTGTTCTAGACCAATCAGCGAGTTTGTTTACAAAATTTCATTGGCCAATCACATTTCGAGCTTGATTTTTCAATATTTCAAACCAAAACACAGTTGCTGTGGAGCAAAACCTACCCTGATACTTTTGTCCGGGAAAAAAATTTACGTTTTTCTACAAAGAAGATTTTTTGAACTTACTTTCTAGAGAACTTTTTTGGTACGAATCTAGGAGCCCTAAGCAGGAACACAAACGGTTGGTAAAATATCTGCAGTGAAACATCACCTATTTTCCACCTCGGCCCTACCGCCAAAAATGCCCACCCCCTAATTTATTTCTTATGAAGTTTTCGTTAATTAAACAAGGAAATATTTTAAGATTTAAGTTACCTGATATTTGGCACAAACAAATAACCCAGCCATCACCTGGGAATATTGTATTTTCTAAACAAAACTAGGCTTTATGATTGCCTTTTCCTTCCTCTAAACTAACGCCTAGGCCCTTTCTGAACCTCCTTTCTGAGCATCATATAGTTAATGAAATTCAAACCACTTTTGTGAAGCCATCGGTCTATAGTTAGAAACCAAAAACGGCCAAAATATTGGCAATAGTTAAACTTTGATATCTGAGAAAAATCAACTTTTTAAAAAGTAACAAAGACCGACTTTTTGGAAAGTCTCGAAGCCTAGAAACCTTACTGATACCTGCTAAAAGGTTTTTTGAACAAGGCATGATAAATTTTGAAATAATTTTGCGAAATCTTATTTAGTTGTTGGAAAACTAATATGATCATATTGGCCTTGAATTTTGTTGCAAGTGTAAATTCTAAATTCAATCCCCTCACGGAAGTATCCGGAAAGTTTCGGATTTACAATTTACAGATTTGAACTTACAAAGAAAAATTGTTTACAACTGTCATAGCCATATTTTAGGGAAGACTTTTTCCTAAATTTCCTTAAATTTTTTCTGTCAGTTTCTTTGGTCTTTGAACTATTTATTCGTCAAATACATTTATTTTATCGATGTGTAAGTAAATGTTGCGAGGGTTTTTGTCAAGCTGGTAGCGAAGGAAACGAAAGTTGACTTACAACAGCGGCTAGAAATAATCGTTTATCACAATGATGGAAAAGCGATCATCAAATTCCTTACATCACTGGATGCACAAAAATTACTTCTTTCAACATATGCAAACAAGTTTAGTTGCTTGGCAAGATGCTTAAAGATTTGTGGCGGTCAGAAAAAGCAAGAACTCTCACAACACGATTTGCATCAAAACAGGTCTGTGATAGGCAGAATTGCTACAAATATTCACAGAAAATTGAAATTTTAAAAGCTGTCGGTAAATGTTGCAAGGCAAATAAAAAGGAATTAAAACTTATCGTCGTACCGATCGACTTCAGTAAGACTTGGCCTCTGTAAAGAAATTATGTGGCTTTATAACCATGTTCTAAGTAGATGATATTTCTGCTTTGCAAGAACGTTTCAGAGCTGCTAAAATGTTACCATATGTCATGCATGTTTATCAATCGATTGGTGGCATCTCACAGGAGCGGATACAGAATTAAAGTTGACGGTCGCACATTAACACTGCCCAGCAGGCGGTCTAGGGGGCCTCCCTCATGGTCAAGGGCGGAGCCATGATGGGGGCCCAGCCCCAGCCCCCCCCAGAACCAGAGCAATTAGGACTGGGGCCCTGAAACGTTCAAATTGTTCAGTCAAACATTTTTCCCTTTAAAAGGTTTTCAAAATGCAGTTGAAACAAAATATCTTGAGATTCAGAAGTGTACACTTCCTGTGCACCTCTTCCCTTTCCCAACTTACAACCTCATTCACTTTTTTCCCTTGCCAGCAGCTGTGCGGCACAGTAATCTAACATAGTGTTTACAGACTTTTCGTGCCGCACAAATATGTGAAAACTTGAATTTGGATTGGTGAGATTTGGTAAAATATTTGCATAACAAAAAGCCCTGCATATTTGTGCGGCACGGGCGACATGCTTAAAAATCATACTGTTTACGGTCTAGGTTGGTCTTTGAATTTTTTTCTATATTGAATTTCGTGGCATTTTGGTGAGATCGACCAAGGTTCGGTCCTGTGTTTATTGTGTAAATGTTTATTTTGTAAATGTATTATCTGTAAGGAGGGAAAAAAAAGATTGTGGTGAACATGATTGCCATGTTTCAATGACTGAAGACTAAAACTAAATTCTGAAAAATCTGACGGTCTTCCGTGCGACCTGTGCGACACCCTGAATACGCCCCTGGGCATCTCCATGCAAATGGTTTCCTCAACTGAGAGTAAACACGTTGTATTTCTCTTTATTCAAAATATATGTGTCTCAAGAACCAGTTTGTAAAATATTACCATGTTTTATTGGCCCATTTTAACTGAGTCCAAGTCACCTGACTTTGCTGTTCTTTGCTTATTTTACATCAGTTGATTTGTGTCCAGCTTGTAGCGCAAAGGTTTCTCATTTTAACAAAAAATGATAACAGATGTAAAGGGCAGAAGTTTTGCAACATTTTGACAACTTGGTTCATTTTAGAAGAGTTTCTCACAAGATTATTATGACTAAACTACAGAGTCATTATCGCCAGCCTGAATTTGTTTTTGTTCGAAAGGGCAATCGATCATAGAACTATCTGGATGCTTTCGTAAGGGTGAGGCGAGTGTATGCTCTCAGGGAGATAAAATGTTGCTTTGACAAAATTGCAGCATTAGTTTACAGTACACTGGATTGAACAATATCGCAATGAATTGAAGAAGATGGACTTCGAGGCTTTGGACAAACTCTATATCAATTGAATTCTGTTGGAACACCGTTGCAGTACAACAAATTTAGACCAAGACGTCTTTAATAACAATGGGGAAACAAAGCATTTCTTGAATAACACAGAGGAAAATGAGCAGTCTTAGACACCCAAGCATAATGCTAAGCATGTGCGAGTTCACTTTCTGGAAATCTTACAAGGTTGAGCTTATTTTATTGCAAATACAGAGGTACTTCTAGGTACAGTGCACACCTATCATAACAGCCCAATTTCCGTGCTTTCGCAATTGTTGATAATGTTTGTAAATAGAAAACTTTCATATATTTGTTACTCTACCTATATAGATCGTTCATTATTCCCCATCTAAACAGTCATGAACTCTTATGCAACTGGTCACAGCCTTTTTAATTAGGTTAGTTAAAAACATTTTGCGGCAGAACTGCAGGTTTGTGTGTACAGTACAAAGTTTGGTTCACCTAGTGTACAGTAGGTATAGCTCAATGTCCTTTTTCCAAAATTATAAGTTTTCCCAGCTAAGGGCAAAAAGCCATACTTCAAAAGTACTTGATAGCTTAAATCTAAAAAATATTCCTTTAACGAGAAAGGGCATTCCTGTCGTGGGTCAAAATCTTAATTTTTTTCCCGGGCAAAAGTATGAGGAAATATTGAAAAATCAAGCTCGAAATGGAGGCAGGTGATTGGCCAATGACATTTTGTAAACAAACTTGCTGATTGGTCTAGAACAAAATATGCTCTTGTTGGCCTAAATATTTCGGGGTCCTTAGTTTTTCGCTTAAAGGTATATACCGTGTGTTACGCCACTTGCCAAAGAGCTATACCTCATTGGCTTGGCAAACACTCTCACACAGAATGGCATTAACCGAACCATTGACCGTTAACCTTACAGAACACACCATCATCAACCACATTATCACTTCTTCTATTACCCATACATTACCCTTTTATAATCATTATTATTACTCTCTACATTCCTGTTATCATTTCTTATATACATATGTTTAATCAATTTTTAACTTTTTTACTACCGGTTTGGTTCATGCCGTTACTTCTTTACTACTATTTTGTCGAGCAGGCTGCTATCATGGCCTCTTCTTTATTTTCTTCCACACATAATCTTTATCAGTCTATTTTAATTAATGATTTTGGTGTCAGAGCTTTGATCTATATGATATTCTTTATCACTTAGAGCGATGTCGACGTATTGTATATTGTGAATCTTGGCGAAGTAATCAACAGAATAGACTTGTTCAGGAAGTACTTGCCAAATGTAGAACCATTCTATGGTACGTAGAAGCTTGGTAGAATTCTCATATCTTCATTAACACTTCTGAATGCAAGTATTGACTTATTAGGTTACCAGGAGGTTTGCCAACCTAGATAATATTCGAAAATCGTTCAAAATTTACTATTCTTTTCCTTTCTGGCAGAATTTCATTTCTCTTTCAGCAGTGAAATGCAACCCGGATCCAGTGGTTTTGAAATTGCTGGGAGCGAGTAACCTTGGATTCGATTGTGCCAGCAAAGAAGAAATTAAGGCGGTATTAAAAACGGGTGTCTTGCCAAACAAAATCATATTTTCACACACAATAAAAAAAATCCCCCATATTCAATTCGCCAAAAAGCACAATATCAGTATTTTGACATTTGACAGTGAAAGTGAACTGAATAAAATCAAAATGATATACCAAGATGCCAAATTGGTCATGAGAATTTTTGTTGACAGTTCAAAAGCTGGATATCCGGTAAGATGTTTTTGCTATTAGGATTTGAGGCATTTATTCAATTTGGCAAGGTTTTTATAACATATATTTGACTAAAGTTGACTCTCAGTTATAAGACAGAGCCAACTTAGTCCAAAGAACTCGATTGTTTGTGATATGAAAATCGTTTTAATGTAATAATAAACTAATTTTGAAATAATGCTATGATATTATACCAATTTAATATTTAATTTAATTTTTGGCAGTACAAAATTTAAAAATGGTTTTGAAAAGCAATCACTATACAACACGGTAAAGCTTTTTTCTGACACACTTCAAAGCATAAACGTAAGAATCAGTGTCAAAAAATGCCCGTCTGGCCCCCACTCTCCATTAAGCCCCCCTCTTTAGCCTTTGCTGTCAAACATGGAAAAAATGTGCATTTACTGGGTTTCCTAACGGGCGTGATGATAATAAAATTGTGTGCATTAAATACGGCCCTTGTAAAGACTTACTTGTGCGCCTAAAAAATCAATCGAAATTTGTTTAGAAGATGTCCCAGGGTGTTCAATTGATCCTAGTGATTTTGATGAGGATGAGGACCTTATAACTGATTTATTAGACTCTCAAAGCTGCCAGCGAAGTTTTCTGAGAACATTTGTAAGACATTTTTATAAACAAGGATGTTTTTGTATAATATTTTTTTCTTCAATTTTTAAAATCCCCGTCTCTCTAATTAGCCCACTCTAGGACTGAAAAAAATAAATAAAATTGTTTTAAATACATATGTCTACTTGCCTCTTTAAAGGGAATCGTATGAATAGACAAATTTACATACCATTTCCATATTAATTCTTGGAACATTATGCACTGTAGATGTTTACAGGATTGAGTTCGGGTTTTTGAACGATTCCGGGACAAAAAATTTCAATGGTTAGTATTTTGCAGATGGGTACCAAATTTGGGGTCAAAGAGAGTTCAACTAGAGGGTTACTCGAGAAGGCAAAGCAGCTTCAATTGAATGTCATTGGTGTGAGGTATGATGATTTTCCAAGAACACATCTTTCTTGATATCGTTAATATACAATCGACCCTCTGCATAACAATGTGAATTAAAGTAGCCCTTCTTTAATTCGTTTGATGGAAGTTCATTTGTCTCGCTCAAATTGCCCCTCAAAGAGAACAGCCTCCTGGATCTTGTAGGTCTAGAAACACTGCTAAAACAAGCGATTCTGTCATCGGTCAACATCTTTTAGACAACCCAGATTGTGCAAAACTCTATAATGACGACATGTTTCGGATAATTGGCAGAGCCCGGTCGTCCTTCCATCTAGCAGTTTTGGAGTCAATCTACATAAAAACGAAGAGCCGCCATTGTGTAGACAAAAGGAGTTCGTTTTCTCTCTTGGACTCCATTGGTAATTTTTCTTTAGGCTCGCGGCACTGATTGGTCAACTATACCGGTCTTGTGCTTGCGTTTTTCTGTTTGGCCTATTTCGATCCACAACTGGGTATATATTTTCCATCGTGTTCTTTCGGAACCTTATTCTGACGTTTTTGCTCTGAGGAGTGTCAGACGAAAAAGCTTTTAGTATGTCGTAAAATGTTTGCTTTTTTCAAAGCCATTTTCAAATTGTTATCGAAGTTCTACTTTTATGATTCTAGTTTTCATGTTGGCAGTTCTTGCTTGCATATTGAAACATATGAAAAAGCAATTAAAGCAGCAAGAAAGACGTTTGATGAAGCGGTAGGTATTTTCTATTTTTCATTCTATCAAAACACAGATTTTTACTAGCGGTAAATTTTTGGAATGTTGATCTAAAACATTTGCTATCAAGAAACACTATGTCTGTAATGTTTCCTTCGGGTTATTTTGATGGCTGTAATTCCATAACGTACTGCATTTTCTATTTTAGTCCAGTTTAGGATTTCAGTTTACTCTTCTTGACATTGGAGGAGGATTTCCTGGTGCAAAAGGAACGGAAAGTACCTTTGTCGAGGTAGGTAGTTTCTTTGACGCAGTTTATGCTGCATTCTATGCTTTTTAACAAGCCTGTATTGTTTTGGCGGAACAATGTTAGTTGCAGGATTGACCTTCAAAACCCCTCTACTAGAGTACATTTTTTGAATTGTGAAAGATGTAAATAATATCTTATTTCAGCTTGCAGAAACGTTACAGCTGTCTTTCAAAGAGCATTTTCCTTCAACTTCTGGAGTCCGAATCATTGCTGAGCCAGGAAGATATTTTGTTGATAGTGCTTTTTCTTGTGCTAGTGAAATAATTGCTGTAAAGATTTCTGGAGAGGGAACTTGCATAGAAGACGATTCTGATAAGGTATGAATATAATGTGGAATAGGATGACATGACATGGTATGACATGACCAGTCTAGCATTTCTTCATCCCAAACAAATAAAAAACCAAGATTGAGTTTTCTCCCTCTCTCTTCCTATTCCCTCCTTCCCTTGTTGGGGGCTAGCTTTAGGATCTTGAGCCTTTCCTTAGCATCACAAACTAAAAAATCTTGAAGAAAATGATATTACGCATGAAATGATATTACATGACGTAATTTGTCCTTCTCATTTATTCCTTCTCATTCATTCTTCTTATTTGTCGCTTCTTATTCATTTCTTCGCATTTTCACACATTGGGACCGGCATTCTCTACGTTTACTTATGGTATCACGTGTCGGTTGAACAAAATATTTTATTTTTTATTTCACTCATCATCTTAACACACCCAACCGATCATTTGATAACACCGACGCAGTTCACGTTAATTGTAGAAAACAAATTTGCATAGATGTATGTTAATATTTAGCGTAAGTTTAGCTCATTTAACACGGTCATATTCACCATAGTGAATATATTTCTTCATGTCCCCCGACTGGGCAAATGGCTCAATAAAAGAATATGAAATAGTAAGCTCAAATCTAAACTTTGAGAGTGGTATAGATCTACAACAACGTTTGTTGTTACTTGACTAGACTCTCTCCAAATCTAGTCAATGGTATACGCTCGTCAATTAAACAAACGATGGCATGGACTAATTGTTAAAGTTTACACACGTAGCTTGTAGTTGAAAAAACTATCGTTCCTCAAATTTGAAAATGAAAGGAAAATGAAAATGTTTTCATGATACAAGTACCTTGTTGCATATACGCAATAAGTGATATAAACAAAACATCAGTCATTTATTCTTGTCATTTCTGCTTTCAGCTCAAGCAGATATTTTAGTATTATGCAAAACCTTTTTTGTCTAAAACTATTTTTCTGATTCTTTTGTGCTGCCTAGAAGCCTTTGATATAAAGGTATCTGAAATTTTACTGGTTCTGAACTATAGACTTTCCCTAATGCTTTTCAAAGCTTGAGAAAGCTTTTGATAATTTTTCCATTTGTGGACCTCTGCATAGGAGAGACAGAGAAGGATCTCTGCGAAGGAAGGTCCCCTCATTCTGTCTCCTTTGTAGAAACCCACAAAACAAAACAAACAACAAATCAACCGATAAAAACAAATATTAACCGCAAGTATAATGCTTGCTAGGGGCTGGCCATCTGAGCTTGTTACTTTCTTGTAGCATACTGATTGATTCGTCATCTCAGAGTAAACATTTTTCCAGGTTTCCTTTACTTTAGAGGTAGCAAAGGTTTTCTATACCATTTTCAAAGCCTGGAAAAATTTGTTTTGGTAGATTTTCAGGATTCTATCGATATTTCTTTCTAGTGTTCCTTTTATGCAAAATTGCAATTTGCGATAACTTAGAATTTCAATAAATTGTCAAAACAGATTGACTTTATTGAAATGATTTTAGTTGCTTTAGTTATCTAAGATTCTAGAGCCTATCATTTTTATGTTTGGAACCATTTGGTTCACGAATCAAAGCGCTATGATTAAATTGTTAATTTGCCATTTCAGACACAGCTGGAGTACTATTTAACTAACAGCATTTTTACATCCTTTGGCTTTCCTGAGCGAGAGGTTGTCCCAATGATCATCAAGGTAATGTTGGTCAGTAATTTCATTTTCAAAAAGGTACATTGTTTCAAAATTAAAAATATTAAAGAAAATTCACATTCAAAAATTACAATTAAATATCCTTAGATGTTTGATAAATGCTCCCATATATTTATGGATTTCTCAATTTTTTCCAACCACTTCCTCTAGCTATATCTTGCGCCCTGCTAATTAAGTCAGAAATCATCCAGTCAAAATTTTTCAGTTGAAATTTTTCCCGTTTTAGTCACTAAAATGTGTTTGCTTATTATGGATTTTCTTTCTTGTCTTTTCTCTGCTCATAGAGAGTTTAATTTTGCTATTATCTAGATTTTTCAAGCCCCTCTGTTCATTTTCACCTCCCCGTATATCAAATCTTGTGGTATTTGAGAAGCTTATAATAAAGGCAGAGGAAAATTATCTTTTCTTAGGAGTGCGTAGGCCAAGAAAGGTATCCTTCTTTCTTGTGGGGTGTGACGTGTTGTCCAATAGACCACATCGCAGAGGATGTTCTCCTTCCTAAGGTACTGTAGAAGTCTTTTATCAATTTTCAATCTCGGTTAAGATTTTTATTGTAGTTCAACAAGCTTTCAGGTGAATGAATTTCAGGTGAAAAAGTCCTTTTTCTAGCAGTTGTGCACACGAAATGGAATACTAGCTATTGTTAAAACTTAAACAGCAAAAAGGAACTTATCAATCATAATGAAGAGATAAAGATATTATACTAAATTTAAGAGATATGATCCAGAGAGCTGCTCGGACATTGAAAAACCGAGCCATGAAGCAAAACAAAGTACAAAATGCCGAACAGAAGATAGGGTATTTGTAGCAAATAATTTAGTTTTTAGATTCCCTGGGAAGAGTTACGATCAATATATAACAGATTTTGGAAGTTATATTCTGGATAGCAGCGGTAGCAGAGGCATTATACTGCAATACAGCATCTAGAAAGGGCAGTAATCAATTAGATTTTGCCCATATCTTTCTATGTAACCTAGCTCAATAATAGCATTTTTCTTAAAATTGTAAAAAGGGTAAAGCTCGCTGTCCTTTGATTGATTGTAGATGGAATTCAAAATCATTTCAGCTCATTCCATTTGTAAATCAATTTTTAGATGGAAGTTGGTGATTTGCTGTTTTTTGAAAGCATGGGAGCTTATTCTCTTGCTTTGAGTTGTCGATTCAATGGATATGGCAATGTCAAGATTTGTTACGTGGTACCAGAATCAAAAAGAGATAGGTTGCTAGACTTTTCTGCTACAAACGGATATCATTAACGCAAATTGCTAGATACTATCTTTTAAACCTAAAAAATATTTCTAGATAAGATATGATATCTTTTATTTATGGAAATGACGTTAAAAATATCTATCTTTAATAATTTGATAGTATAGATGTTATGTTGTTGTATAACTTCGCTTTACTTTTTGTATTTGATGTTGTTATTATTACAAGAAATGAATTCTTTTGAAAATATCCTAGACAACAGTTTATGCTTACAGCTTGCTATTCCAAATATGCTTTTAGCTATTAGTTTAGCATGTTAGTTCGGAACAGCTGAGGCTACTAGAATGGGATATAATGGCCTCAAGCACTATTCTATTTGGTGCACAAGAACTTTATAAATTATTAAAATTTTGATAGTGAAATTTAAAACTATCATATCTTTCTTGAAACATTTTGGAAAATGCTTGATTAGCTTAAGATGAAACAGTTTTTTACCGCGACATGAAAAAATCCTGCCTATAGAAAGACTTTCTTAGGTAGCCTAAGACCAAGGACAATTCTTAGATTTCTGAAAGAGTTTCGAGTTATCTGCCAAGGCTCCGGTATAGCTCCATCTCAATTGTTAAACGTTGCTGTTGTTGCAAGTGGGTCAGAAGTTATCCGGGTTTCGACGTTTCTATTAACTCGCAGGTGGGTCTAAAGATACCCGGGTAAAAACTGACCCACTCTGAGACCCGTTTTCAAACTTATCCGTTTTTCAAGTTGGTTAGTGGGAACGCGACGCAGAAACGCATAAATTTTAACCCGGATATGTTTTAACCCAGGCTTGTGGAAAGGCTGCTACACTGTTTTTTAGTGTTTGTACAGTGGCTATATAGGATATAGTGCTGAAAAGTGCCAAAACTTCGACAGGTCATAGTGACGTCATTACTGGATGATACCCCAAAACCAATACCATCAATCGATTCCTCCTGTCGATTTTTGTATAAAACCTTTATTAACAATCATTAAGAAAAACATAGAATATCTCACAATCATCGAACATTGATTGTTATATCATCAATGTCTGGGACACCATTGCAATGTCCAATATGAAAGAATAGCCTCAAGAAAATATTAACCAAAATGGAACACAGCTGTTGTATTGTCTGTTATATTAACTGTCCATCTGGAAGCAGCTGTTCCCTCATGATTGACGTATAGCAGCCATTCGTAAACTCCGGCCCGCGGGGCAACTCCGGCCCGCAGCAAGTTTTTGTCTGGCCCGCCGAGCACTTTATCCGAAAAAAATATTTTTTGGCTTACACTTTGAAAATTTTGAATTCGATTTAGTTTTTTTTTTGGACAGCTCTGATATTTTCTTTTTCTCTGCAGTAAATGATAATATTCGTCCCGTTGACCAGTAATTGGTCCGAAAGGGAGTACGAAAATAGGAAATGCTTTGTTTAATCATTTAAACGTTTTGAAGCAAAATATTTTATTGCTTTCATTGAATTCAATAGGTCGTTGATAAACTCACCATGACCTCACCTCCTCCTCTACTTCCTGAGAACCCAGGCCCAAGGTCAGACTTGATATTTAGTTCATGAAGTTCATGCTTATTAGCGTATGTGTATGAGGCAGCGTGTGTGGACTAGGGCACTGGTTAATGCTTTATTGCCAAACTGTGTTTTATTTCCTTTTTCTCTTCTCTCCATCTTTTTTTGGTTTCATTCATTTGTAAGAAAGTTGATTATCCGCTGTTATGCTAAGATAATTCTAAAACTTTGGAAGACCCTTTCTTTTCATGTCGACATTAAAATAGATAAATCTATGAAACCGTTAGCTTTTCTCCCGTCAAATTCTATTTTAAACGCAGTTTCTGGCCATCTCTAGATTATTATAATCTAAAATTTTTCTTGCCGCCAACCATGGTGGCGGCCTTTTTTAATGCAAACACAATCAATAAATTTTTGCCCCACTTTAAAATACGTTTCACCGTCCCTGATCCGACTTCAAGTTCATTAAGTCGACGTAACAAACATTATAAAACAATTTATTTACAGTTGGCAACGAGATCTAGCATCAAGCAAATTTAAGTAAACTGTTTACAATAAATATTAGAAAGTTAATGTGTACAAAAAGATCTACAGGTACAATAAAATATTTACAAAATCTACAGCTGCAATCGAAGTTTTCTACAGATTTTTTGCTTCGTTTGAAAATACTCTCATTTTTTTTATAAGAAACAAAGGTCGATGTTGAGTACTCCAGTTTCTTAATGTTCTGGAAATTTCAATACTCATTGTTTCTTAAGAGTTTCTTAATTATGATTTCATGAATGATGTTATGAAATGTTCGTGACCTTTTTTATCACGTCAAGAGATTCGCTTCCGTTTCGATGCTGTATTTAGATGTGGGAAGTATATTTTTATCCTTTTTGTCTTAAGTTCTAGGCCAACAGGGCAATCTTGTTCTTGGATTTTACAAAATTTCGTTTTTCTCAGTTTTATCACGATTTAACAGTTTCTTAATTTTTTTTGCTTCGAGTAGTGAAGTTTCTTAATTTTTTCTGACTGTCCAGTACTCCAGTTTTTTATATTTCCAGTTTCTCATGAAAAAATGAGTGTATGCAGTGATTGGGACTTTTTAATTTCAATAAGGTAGCTTTTGCCATACTTTTTGCCAAAAAATCAAACTGTCTCTGTGCTATATGTTGTTGTTCTTGAATTGGGCAAATAATGTTGCTGTTTCCTTGAAGTTCATATTTTAAGTTTCTGGTAATAAAACATTGTCCATTATTTTCGTTCCATCGTCCACAACGATATCGTCTTCCATGGAGCATCCACGCAAGTGAACACAACTAGAATGTGACTTTTTATAAAAGAAGTCTGTGTAGCTAGCTGAAGTGGATCCATAGTTGTTGATATGCTGTTTGGAGGTTATCAACATAAGATTCAAATAGAGTTTCTCGTAAGAAAACACAAGGCAATATTCTCAAGGTTTTTTATAACTGCCTTTTTAAGTTACAATTGTTGAAAGAAATTTCTAAGCATTTTTACAAGTGGGTATGAAAGATGTCAAAGATTTTCACATGAATCGAGGGCATGCGGATATTTCTCTGCGATAAACTTACAAGACTGTAGTTTGCCCCGAGTTGGAGGAGGTATTGAATTGAATAGAAATTTGTTAGAAAATAAGGAGGCTTTGCATTTGATTGTTGGGCGTGACCAACAGAGAGACAACCAACTACACCCGAATAGTTTGCCACTTTTTCCTTGGCTGCTTCGAGTTTATTCCTATTGTGATAGACTTCAGTAAGTACTTCTCACAAAAGGCCCCTTCCCTTGCTAGTTATATCAGTTTTGAAGATCCTGGGTTGCTTTGAAAATCCCCGTTTCACAAGCACAGCAAATCATGAGAATTTCTTGGTGTGGCATTTCCATTCTTAATTCAGTCAGTGTGTATGTGTATATTAATAAAGCTGTAACCGCAAATAAATAAAGATAGAGACGACCGAACATGTAAAAGCTCTTGACAGTTAAAAACGATAATGTAGACTGCACACCAGGTGGACTTTGGGAACTTTAGATTCCACAAAAATGTCAGCAAACTTTCAACCTCGTTCAAAAATAAAGCAAGAAGCTAATTAAAAACGATTGAATAAAACTTCTGGCAAATAATATAGTAATATGGTGTCTAGAACGTTTGTTCAATTTATTTCTTGAAGATCGATAATTTTGCCTGAAGCCATCATATGTCTGAAAGGGTAAAAGTAGAATTTCAATTTTTTGCGACTGATAATTGGAACCTTGCTACTTTGACTGCATTTTATAGTTATATTTAAGCTGCATATATGATAACGGCACCAACTTCATTAGTAATAAGTGAAACTGTTTTTAATAATAGCATGTACCCTAGTGGCTGTCGATTTTCACTTGTCCTTTATTGAAATAAAAAATATCAAGATGTTGAAATAATCACCTTATTTCATTCCACTGACATAGTTTGATAAGAGCCATCGCTGCATAGAAGAAGCAAAGTTTTATAGAATTGCGGGCAGGGTTTTCCTCTTCAAAACCACTACAAAATAATCCCATGCATTTAGATGCTATCTAGCAACTGGTTCTGAATAAGATATCGGCGGTTGTCCAAAGTAATACAAATCAAAAGTAGCAAATTCAATTTTTCCATCTCTTTTTACTCTCTATTTATTACAGAACCGCTTGATTATTTGGACTGGTATGTAATTTAAACAACCTGACATCATCATGAACGATGTTTCTTCCTGCCATGTATTTTTTAATGCCATAAGAAACCTCAGTGTAAAAGAGCTAAATGATATCAACTTATTACCACACTACAAAAAGAACTCTCATACTCCTGCAAGGTGCATTTTCATTTATAAACAAAAGTATTCTCAAGATATGTATGTTGATATTGGCAAAGCAAACTTTCGTTTGCAAAAAGAAGATATTTTCTTTTTACCTCTGTTTTTTCACACTTTTAAATAAAGCAGTATCGAAATATTTTGCCGGCCTTGCTGTACTTTTGTTTCCTTTCGACAAAAAACTATAATTTCTTTGATTCGAAATATATCAACTAAAAAGGATCTTTATTTGTGATGTGTATATTGGGAACAAAACAGACTTGGAATTTATTAAAAATCAAGAAAAGATATCAAACAGATGTTATTTTAGCATGCTTATGCAGAAGAAAGTGCAAATGATTGACAAACTGCGATCCTAATTGTAGCGAGTCTCGTTTTAAAGTAAGCCCTATTTTCCGAGAACCAATGGAAGCAAGTGCAGATGATCTAAGAACTGTGATCATAATGATAACAAGCCTTGGTTTTAGGTAGGCCGTAGGATGCCCAGTTCAGTTTAAAAGATGGAGACAACTATATTTCTGATATATTTCTATCCGTAAAATTGCAAATAAATCAATTAAAAATGATGATAAATTTGTGTTCGGAGTAAAAAATGCAAACAGTGAAAAATTTCCTTTAAATAGAATTATAATTTGAAGCTGTTAATGACTGGACGTCTTTACACGTGATTTAAAAGCATTTTTCGTAATTTGGAAGCAATGTTTTGGCACCATCTCTACCCAGATGCTTTACCCTTCTGTTAAAATGTGTTATCCAAAGTAAGCCATGATAAAAGTCACAGCCAAAACCAGTGCTTCTTTGTAACCTAGAAAAAGGTTAAAAGAAACATCCTATACAAAATTAGAAGTTAGTAGTGTAGTGCCTAAAACTCTCTGCTGGATGTGAAAGAAATGGGTTTATTTTCAGCTTGGACCTACTGAGCAAAAGCATGCAAACGTCTTGATATGGTTCAATTTTTTTCCTTACTATAAAACAAAATCTTGGCTAAATTTAAAAGCCCTCTTTATTTGAAACATTTAAAATGAAACATTTGAGCAATAGAACAAAAAGAACATGCGTCAGGGGATTAATAAATAAAAATCGTCTGCCATGAAACAAAAGCCAAAACAAATGAAGATCAAAATGTCAACACGCCGTAAAACAACCCCGACGAGCTTGTCCTTATGGATTTTGCTTCACAACAGGTTCAGTCAAGACTTTCATTGTGGTTGTAATATAAAAATACTTCAGTTTAAGTTGAAACATAATTCTCAAAGTTCTGGGGAAATTAGGTAATCAGTGATTACCTTGATTACCCCCAAGCGCTGGATATTTGGAGCTCTTTTCTTCAAAAATTCAAACAAATGTGTCAAGTACTGACATAAAATGACCGACAATAGAGGTGGGAGCATTGAATCTGTCGCTTACAACTAACGTATATTTTTTGCATTGCAAAACATCCCGCAAGAGAATTTTTCGAAAGGATCTTTTGAGATTATTCATTTTACTCACATCATTCCAATTCACTTCAAGCGAGCCCTGCTTGCAAATTAATGAATGTAAGGGCTTATAAATATATTTTCACAGTCTTTCAACACCATGGATATTTCAGGCAACCACTGGCACTTGACCAAGCAGTCACTGCATTGGCTAGAGCTTTTTGCCTTGAAGCTTGGACACAAGTGCAAGATGTGACTCAAAGGAAGAAGGCTGCACTGCCACATTCTTTATTCAGTTATCAGGCATGCCTATAAACTGGTAGCTTTCGTAAGCTATACATGCATATCATTTTTCCCTTTAATTTAATTTCTTAGGCCAGCGACAATATTGATTCCATAATGCATATAAGAGAAAATTTATATTGCAGTGTGGCATTGACTCGATGTTCTGAATAGCACGTTTGAAAAAGATAGAAACTGAGCTTAAATATAATGACCTCTGGAAAGTATGCATACCTTGAGTATAGGAATACAATCTGTTACCATGATTCGGCTTATATGATTGGTCCACAACACAGTCACAATTAGGGTATGTTCCAGTAGAAAGAAAGCCTCCATGGCAAGACCAAAAACAGCATGTCCCCAAACAGCTGGCATATTGGGTCACAACTGTTGGTCCAAGGCAAGCGTTTGTCCTCGTTGTTGTACCTGGAACACATAAATACTTTTTAAATATATGTGTTCTTCTACATCATAAAAATAGGTTTTGTTCACATAAATTGTAGAAGAAATCCGTTTTCAGGCACACTGTCGCAAAAGAGAATGGTATTGATACATCACGCTTTCTCAATATAACTATACATAGAGATTCAACTCATAACAGTCAAATAGGGACGGCTACAGTGTGCTATCCAATGATAAAAAATACTATTCATTATTTTATTCAATTTCTAATACGAGTTTTTCAATAGAACATATAACTAAGTTTTTTCTAAGTTTTCAAGAAGAATTTTTGCGTTGTGAAGCATGGAGAATGCGTTTTAAAATGCCACAGTCAAGATGTAAATGGCACTTATTCTCAATGGAATAAAGGCTAGAAAAAATCTGATACAAGGTAGAAAGTGCAAGGCTATGTTATCAAAGGCCTTTGAGATACATTTAATGCTTCATATATGCATTTCACAAAGATTTGTAAAAGATACTACAGTCGCTCAATATAAGGTACTACAATGTTTGCAATTGGGTCCTTCCATGCTTTAAAACAGGCAGAGTGCCTTAAGACACCCGTCATCTCAGAACTGAATCAAATTTTTGCATCAGTAAATTGCTGTCGAAGAAATGTTGAAATAGGAAAAGCACTATCTCATTTCTTGACAAATTAATGTAAAATATATGGGACATATGAAATATTGAGACCCCAAGACTCTTCAAACTCGAATTTCAATGAATCAAACAATGTCCTTTATGCATATTATGATTTGATTGGGTTAAATTTGATGGCCTTTTCTAGCACAATAGAATGGTTTCGAAATAATGTATCAGCTGCTACGTGTGTGTAATATCATTCAAGTCCCTAAAACTATGAATCTATGGCAGAAATCAACTTGTGTTTGGTTGAGGGCAAATCAAAAAAGGCCGACATGGCACTTTTTAAGAAAAAACCAATTGAAGAAAACATGAATTTTAAGCACAAATTTTAGTTTTTTGCTAATAATCTCTGCCTCTTAATGCTGCAAATTTCTGAGCTGACGGGATCCTTGGCCTTTTGATTGGGCATTTTTGTTAATGCCGCGACTGTAACAGAAATTTATCAAAAAAGATACCAACTAATTGAAAAAACCGAATTGAAAAAAAATGTTATGATGAATAATATAATACTGAGGATAAATAATACTATTGTTAAAAAGCATATACCATTTTCGTTACATGTTGCGTTACAACCACTCCATTCCGACCATCCTGTTGTGTTGCATGCTCCCGTTTCGCTAAGGTCAAAAGTACAATTTCCATTGCATTTTTTTGGCACTATAACGGATCTGTGACGGCTTATCGAATACCCTGTACAACAAGATTAAAAGAAAAAGAAAAATTCACGGCAAAATCTCTGTTTATTTTCAGAAGAAAATTCAAAAGATTCAACAGAAGAGCAATGGAAATCTGTTATCCATAAATACCTAATTAACAAACACTAAATTAAGCACGAAAAAACCGCTACTGTGTAGACAAAAGGAGTTCGTTTTCACCCTAGGACTCCACTGGTAACATTCTCAATAGGCAAGCGGCACTGATTGGTCAACCTATACAGTCATGTCATGTTTCTGATAAACACTAAATTAATTAACAAATACCTGAATAGGAAATAAAATTGAAAAAGCAAAATTACTAAACTAAGATTTATCAAAAAAGTAACTTTAGAATAAAGAATTATGTTAAATCGATAGAAGGGTCACCCCTATTATTGCTCAAACTAACTATTGTCCACTTGAAGGCTAACTACACAAGAAAAAATGAGGATTCATTCTCTTTGCAGAAGATGTAGGAATATTGAGGAAAATCTTGAACACTTATCTAAATGTCCACAATTTCATGCAAGCCGTTGGACAGAGAAAGCATCCATATCAACTATCAATCAAATTCAACTAAAAAAGGTTCAACAAAAGGTGAAGGAATTCCTCCCATCGACGAATTCACAGGGTATCTGTCATATCGGCCGGTGATGTCCTTGTTTACAACTTGTCCGAAATGGAGATTTGGTATCAGTATTATTATCATAATGACGAGGGTATCATTATCATTATAACGATCTCTCTTGATACTCTTATAAGATCCTTACGTAAAATGGGTTTCTCAAACGTGATATCATAGTTACCTTAGCGATCGCAAACAATACGTAAAATAAATGCTCGAAAATGAAAGCCGATGACAACATACTTTGGAGTGCCGCAAGGGTCAATTCTCGGACCGCTGTTGTTCAACATTTATGTTAATGGCCTACAGGTCAGTCTTCAATCGCGATTAATCCAATACGCAGTTGATACAACTATATATGAGACAGGCAAACCTAATGATATACAAACGACCCCTAATAAGGTAAACTATTTATAGAGAAACGTGAACAATGGTCATACGAAAATTCTCTGCTCATCAACGCAATAAAGACTAAACAATCGTCATCAAATCAAAGAAAAGACCATATCACTGTCATTGGGAGGAGAATCGATCGAATTGGATGAAAAACCTCGTCTCCTAGGAGTTAACCTCGATAAAAACTTGGACTGGTCCGGTCGAGTCATTCGAAAGAACTTTCCTCTAGTTGCTACGGAAAGTTATCAGCTTTAGAAAAGCCGAAGAACTTCACATCTGCAAAATTGAGAAAACAACTAGCTGAAAGTCTAGTGTTGACGTAAATTGATTTTAACCATTATGTGTACACACCATTGAAATCAGTGAAATTCACAAAGTGCAACAATTGCAGAAAGCAGCAGCAGGTTTTGTGCTCGATCAGTGCGCATTTTCAGCTGATATTCTCAAACCTAATTGGCTTCCAAAGAGAAAAGAAGGGAATTTAACTGCATGGAAAGCGCTTTATATAGTTATAAAGTAATATAGTTTTACATTACAAGATGTTCCGGCAAAGATCTTAAATTCCGGCAAAGGAAAGCAATAGATGGAGAGAAATTCCTTAGAAAAAAATTGACACAGAAGCAAAGACTAGACAAAACCATTTTCCGGCAACTAACCATTTCAGAAAATATTGTTTTAGAGAAATAGGACAATGTGATTTTGATAGGCTACATCATCATAGACATTTTAAACAAGCGAGACTCTGATCAACATTAATGTGCTCTTTCATGTTTATATTGATTACACCTGCTAAACAAAGCACAGACGATGATTCATTTACACAACCCTTACCAACTGACAACGAAGTTTTTACTTCAGTTGCAGAAACTAGCCTTAGTGACTGCCATTGTTTGGTTGTTACTGTTATGGAATCAACAATCCATCCACAAAACCCCAAAAATATAGAATACCCAATCTAAACCAGGGCACTTCTTACAACAATCTTTGGACAAATAGTAGACAAATACGCACCTCTTAAAACAAAGTTAAAACAGCCCCCCCCCCCGTTTTGACGGCCCTGCTGATGATTGATTTAGAAAGAATTACAGTTAACATTAATGTGATGAAATATAAGAATGTGATGCCGTATAGACAAAGATGTGTCACAAGGACCTGTCCTAGTGCCTACCTTATTCACTATGTGCATCAGTCATATGCCAAACTTGACCCCGCTACTGTCAAGACTACTTGCTGATGACACAAATCTTTTTGCCTTTGGGGAACACTCTAAAGCACTGTTTAACAAAACAAAATTCGAGCTCAGGAAGCTCCATTAATGATTAAAGCTAAAAAACTGAAGGTTAGCTCTGAAAAGAAAAAGTTCTTTATTATAAGTACCTTGAAACCCTTAGCTCATAATGTCATTTTCCCTCTTACTTTGGACAAGCAATTGAAACAATTAAATAGTATCGAGCACCTCGGTGTTTTGATTGATGAAATTCTGAATCGAAAAGCCTCAATAAGGAACTGATAAGATAAACTTCAGCTTTCTCTAAACTTCGATATTTCCTACCAAAATATTGTTTTATGATTGAAACATACAACTTTTTTTAAAAAAGTACTGCCTTGAAGTATAAGGAGTAGCAACCAAACAAGATCTTGAAAATTTACAACTAATGCAAAATCGTATTCTCAAGATCCTTCTTTTCAAAAAACGTAGATATTCCATTTCCAAGTTACACAAAGAAGTCATTGAAATCTAAAGAATATTTTCTTACTGAAGCAAAAAAGATGCTTTTAGTTTGATTCATAAAGAGAAGAGCCTAACTTTAAATTCCAATTTACAATTTATCAATTTTAAACTATTTTAATCTTTATTTTTCATATAGCAGTATTTAACGACCAGATGAAGAGCCACCCTGTGGAAATACTGGTCATGATTCATTATTATTATTATTATCATTATTAAATAACAATGCTATTCATTGTGCAAATAACAATGAACATGACATACTTGATACTTTTCGAAACTATTTCATTACAAACAAAAGAGAACATGATTATGATAAAGAAGAACGAACAAACTACCAATTCTAAAGGACAAGCAGAAAATGAGAGGAGCAAAAGCAGGTGCTTGACAAACTGAGTATCTTCAACTTTCTAGGCGCTCGATTGAGTATCATCTAATATCATCAATAAAAAAATTTAGGTTTTGCAATTATCTTTTAGACAGCATAATTATGCTAGGTGCTTGATCAATCAAGATCTAGAATTTATAGGCATGTGTTGAGGCACTTCTCCTTGCAAGGCCTGAATGGGGTGAAAATATGCCCTAAACTGAGGAGCTCGTTTATAGAATAATCTGCAGAGAGACCTTGCTAGTCTTACAAGGAAACACTGAAAAACCATGATCAACAATAACAATTAGATAGCACCATTCATTAATAATATTTTTTTTGTCTGATTTATAATATCTGTCTAAATTCTTATTGCATAACAACAATGAACTAACATCATTTGATTATTATAACTTTGCAATATTGTGTTTACCTGCTGTGATCAATATAATTATGCTATATAATGGAAACCTGAATTTTTAATATCATTTAATGAGTTTTATATGCTGTATGATCAGAATCGTTTAAATTTATCATATATCCATATGTTTGTTGTGCTTTTTTCAGCTTGCATGTAGTCTTGTAACCTTTATTGCTTTTGTAAGAATCTTTATTTAAGCAGTGCAGGCTTGCTAAGATCTGCTTTCCTGGGTCACATATAATGTAAATATAGCTTTCATGTATCTTAAGATTGCATTGCATGAAAAAAAATCATTTGAATTGAATTGTATATGAGATTTGAGGACAATAATACAATTAATTCTTAAATTATTCAGAAATACTTAAAGATGCTGGCAATCAATATGCTGTTTCAAGATTTTGCAGCTACAACTCTTTGTCTGGCAATTTTACACAATCTTTTGAAATTTTTCTGCAACCAGCCCCCCCCCCCCTCTCCTTGGCTCTAAAACTGTAATCAGTATGTGGTGTTTTTTGCTGATATTGATGGGCCTACTTTATAATTACTAAGAAGCTCATTTTGGTTTCTTATTGCTGGATTGTGGATTTCTCAAGAAAATGAAAAATAATTTGACTAACAACTGTTTACCTGGACATCTTCCTACACAGGACGGAGACCAGGAAGACCATACACCAACATCACAGTTCCGGTCAGTGTAATCAGTACAGCTTGCCTCTTCTGACAAAGCATAACTACAGGAGCCACCACATTGTGGTGAGACAGTGATGCTTCTTGTTCTAGTTTTTGTGCCTAGAATTAAAAAATAAACACCCTTGAACCTTCAATTGGCATAAATCAGACAAAAATTAAAGAATCTCTTGATACTCTGAAATGATATGAATCTTAATAATTCAATATGTGTCATTCAGAAAAAATATTTGTTTCAGCTCTACTTGATAGTGCTTCTTTGTTTTACCTGTTCTCTGAGTTAGAAGTAAATTGAAAGACTAAAAACTCCTGTAGTATGAGTAAAATCTTTACAAGAAAATACAAATTACCAAGTTTGTATTTGTATTTATTTCTACCTAGCATCCGAAGGTAGTTTTTAGGACACTGAAAAGATTATGCTTATCGAGCAGTGTCCTGGTCCTTCCTCTCGATGTGACCACTTCCTCTCTGTAATGCCTGGAATTACAGAGAACTGGCGACTCTCCTTGCTCTGGGTGAAAGTTTGGTCATGCCAGGGACTGGAACAGCCTCTAACAACTAAGCCACCCTAAGTTGTGAAACAGTAAAGGAATGCAACATCCAAAGCCAACTCATGAGCTTTTCATCATCCAACTCAATTCCTGGTGATCATACTGTGATACAATGTTCTTTACAATTTCTACCATATTTAGGTGCAAGGCCCCCTTTTGCTACCATAAGCACATTGCCTGGGGTCATGTCCCCCTGGATCTCCCTAAAACTGCCACTGCTTTTGCTACCCTGCCACAAGTTTTGATTAAATTTAAAATACCCTGTCAAATTATAGAAAAGTATTGCCTTTTTTTCTGTTGTATATCCTGCCATCCCAAGTATGAGATTGCCCACAATTTTGGAGTTCTGGTCTTTTCCCAAAAAAACAGTTTCTTATCTTTTTTGGATTGTCTAGTACTCTTTCTTATAGTAGGTTTCTTATAAAAAAAGAGCAGACTCTTGTTTGAACAAGCAAATAAAACTAAATTCATCTACAAGTTCACAGTTATAAACTGTTTTGAACACACTTTGAAAAAGTTACAGGCTAAACGAAGAATGTCTTTTGGAACTGATGTATGTGTGAACATGGAAACGCCCATATATCAATAGCCTTCTTTAATACCTGTCGGTATTTAAACAATCAGATGTTCAAAGTACGCCATTTATCAAAAAACAATGGCGTCGGCCATCCGAAGGATTCGGAAAAGTCAAACTCATATATCTTTGATATAATTTAAGCAAGATGCAATACAAATGGCTAAATATTTTGAACGCCACATGCAACAATCTCCGTAGCTATCGAGTCACGTGCCCGTTAATTGCTCAGAGGTTCAGGCTTAGGGTCTCCGACGAAAGGGAAAACAATAAAGTTTTTTTATTTTGAATTTGTTTTGGAAAACAATTTTGGAGTTGTTTTCATTAAATCTTCCCTTGACCCTCCCCCCTTTCCAACCTGTATCGGGAAGTATGTTAACCTTGACTGACCCTACTAGCGAAACAAATGGCAAATTACCATTTCCACAATTCGTCTGGCATTCTCCCCAACTGCCCCAGGATGAATATTGACACGATCTTGGGATACAACTTGTCCGCCTCCGTGTGGTGATAATTACTCGTCTTCGTGAATCCGTTCTCCTCCTTGATGCTTGTACATCTAGGATTACGCACAGAACGATGCAAGTCAAAATAAGAGCTCTCACAGGCAGCTTTACTGCCATTGCAGCGTCACAGGCTGTTGCAGATCATACCATACTTGATTCGGATAGGATAGCAGCGGTTCTATTATTCTGATTGTTGTCATGCAGCAGGTACATGGAAAAATGGATTGAAATACAATGGAAAAATGGATTGAAATACAATGGAAAAATGGATTGAAATACAATGGAAAAACGGATTGAAATACAATGGAAAAACGGATTGAAATACAATGGAAAAACGGATTGAAATACAATGGAAAAACGGATTGAAATACAATGGAAAAACGGATTGAAATACAATGGAAAAACGGATTGAAATACAATGGAAAAACGGATTGAAATACAATGGAAAAACGGATTGAAATACAATGGAAAAACGGATTGAAATACAATGGAAAAACGGATTGAAATACAATGGAAAAACGGATTGAAATACAATGGAAAAACGGATTGAATTACCAGTAACCACGGCTATCGTAATCAATTACGTCTGTGATGATTCTGTAGCTGTCAAACTTGGGGAAAGCAGCAAGTTAATTCTGTAAAGCTCTTAAGTATTGCGCGTTGGTTGTTAAACTCAAACATTTGAGTCATAATGAAAGATGAAACTTGTTTTTTCTAGCAGAAATAGGTCTGCCCTCCTTTTTTAGTTTCACCCCAGGGCCTCCGAGAGCTCTCGATACACACTGATACATTCAAACCGAAAACTTTCCGGTAAAAAATTCGTCCAAAACTCTATTTGTACAAAATCTAAGTTTGCCCAAAAGTTTGAAATTGTAAGAAATAACGTTAGACAGGGACGTAAATTGGCAGATACTTTGGGGGAGGGGGGTGAAGGGCTCAAAATTTCCGACTAACAAAGGTCAATTTTAATTTTGTATGAGGCCCTAAACTTTTTACCAACAAAACCTTATAAATTGTCTCGTAAATAATTATTCAGCTGTATGATAAAGTTTCTAGATTTTGTAAATTTAGAAGATCGAAAATGCAAAAATATATTTCAGTCCTTGCTGCATATACACTCTCTTGTTTATAAGAACCAGTAAATTTAAGTTCAGGCTGACTGTTCTTAATTTTTTCGAAAATCTGAGGCTGGATTGTTCTTAACTTGTTCTTAAATTAAGAGGGTGTAAGCAGTGCTATTGCTAGCTTTTTCGCTCTAAGGAGGTGTTCAGGCCTCATTTGCCAACAAAGTGAGTGAGACAGCATTAATTTGCTGACAAATTTGAATATTCACCTAAAAAGCACCCACACATCGCTAAAAATCCTCGATTTTGAGAAAAAAATGTTGTTCAAAATTGTATTTTGCAGAAGCTCGGCCTCAGCTTGTTCTTAATTTGTTCTTAACTTTTGACCAGTTTTGAGGCTTGTGTTCTTATAAAATTGTTCTTATAAAAGAAGAGTGTAATTTCTGGTTGTTGCTCTGCACAACTTTATTTATGACTTGGATTCGCAGTCTTTATATCAAATCTTCACAAAACTTATATGAAGGGGTCAGCACGTCGTTCTGATCGTCGATTTCTTGATCAATGCCTTCTTCATCAATTCCGATTATTTTCCCCGGAAATCCAGCATTCTAAAATTTAGTTTCCAAATCTTAGTTCTTAAAAACAATGTCCTTGGGTCAGTCGACGTAGTTAACTTATTATTTTAATCTGATGTCTTGAAAATTGTACTCAGAAAAAATTCAGTTCTCTACGACGAATTTGCGCTATATTTCATCGCAAATGTTTGTTGAAGATGTGTGACTATCGAAAAATTATTTGGCAATGACTTTGATTCCGGGACATTCATTAGGTGTTAATTGTTAGTGTTTCCTTTATTATTTATTAAGATTTAAGGATACCCTTCTGATCTTACGTGTCTCTAGCTGACTGGTTGCTATTAATAGTTGGTAATAATGCTTTTATCTAGAAATATGCTGTAGTAGTTTTTAGAGTTAGGCTTTTTGGCAGAAGCATGTTGCTGTTTGGTCGCAGTGCTGACGCAAGAAGTCATGTCTCTGTGTTCCTCTCTGCCACCAGTCCAGTTTAAAAGGGCCGTGAGTTATTCCATATATATTTTATTGCACTGTAGTCAAAGTGTAGTATAACATATTGTTGAAGATACACGAGATTTTACATGGCGAGGATGGCTGTCTGTGCGAAGCTCGTCACGCTTCTTATGGTTTGGTACAACGGTATCAGAGAAGTCTATATACCAAAGTCAACTGTGATACTGATGAAAGCATATGTACACTATCAGAAGGAGCATTTGGCAATTATTTGTGTCATTTTGCAATCGCTGTTAAAAAATTTCCTTTGAGAATTAGGCCATTGTCAAGCAAGTCGCACGGAAGTAAAGCGTATCTTTTTTACTTTTGATCTTAGTGGCGATATCGAAATGAACCCAGGATCAAACAAAATATTAAAAACAAATTTATGAACAGAATCCAAACTCAATATTTTGGAAAATTATGAACTTCTAAGCGTGGGCTTCAATTTTTCCTGGTTCTTGCAGAAAAGTATGTATTTTTTCAAAATAAATTCAATTTCATTCAATTTGCTGATTGTACGAAAAGAGAAGAATGTTATGCTGTTTTTCGGTTTTTTTCACTTTCGAAAAAGACACAGTAAGAAACAAAAACCTTTCCGTCTGGCTGACGAGCCCACGAGATCGATATTATCTAAAGATTGTGGCCAAAATGTTGTTATAAGGCAGAGACTAATATAAAAAAATTCGCAGCCCACTTCCTTCGCTATCCTTTATGTGAATCCACTTGTGTACTACTGGTAGATAAATAGAATAACAATTCAAATAACACAGTTTTTCGATCATTCGTTCTCTTCATCGATGATTAAATTTTTCATAAAAGTTCTGCACAATCTGCAACAGCAGCTTCTTATCAGATAACAGCATTCATTAAAATGGACCCCATCTTCATTGAACAAACACACTTAACACGATAGAAACATGATATGAACATAACCTAGTGAGTAAGACCAGATCTAGCATGATATTATGCTTTTAGCAAAATTTTGCCCCCCTCCCACTTTTTTGCAAAGCAAGAAATTTTAAAGCTGCAGTAAAAGGGGCAAAAACCCTTACTTTTTCTAGCCTTGGTCCCCTTCCCTACTTTCAAATTTGTGGCGCTGGTCCTGTGTTTTTATTGATATGTGATCCGCGGTCTATCGTTACTCCATGCAAACACATTACACCCGCATATGTGGCTATTGTTATATGAGTAAATTGTGATGCTATCTAACATACCAGTACAAGGCAGCAAATTTATTATTGAAGTCTGTTTTTAGAGCTACTTACTTGGTTACTGATTTCCAGAAATAGCTCTGTTAGTAAAAAATATGGGCCACCTATATTTACATATACATAACTGCATGTTCACATATTTGATGATTAATTAATTGCGCTGGTTTTTATAGCTGTTTATATTCATTTTGTAAAGTTACAGTTTAATATTATATTTTCAAACACATTTTGGGCACTCTTTCTATTTGCACATACGCTAGCCTCTTTTTAAACAGGTTTGCCTTGATTTGAAATTTAGCATATTTCTTGGAAATCTAGAACAACTTTATGATAATTTTGGCATAATTTCGAAAATCGGCAATATCTGGCATTTGTCATTTTTGCCTGAGTAAAACATTTCTAATTTTAATATTTCAATGAGTTGAAGCCTTGCTTCCAACAGAACTTATTTCGACAGAAAGATTCGATATGGTGGATAGGTCAAATGTATGGTCAAAGAGAGAACCCAAATTTGGACACAGAATGCTTTAACTCTGTCTGGCATTTTGTCTAAAAAGCTTCCAAAAGCAAATAAAAAGGGGAAAGGGAGAGTTAGTCGTGAAGCAATGTACAATTATAATGACGGTGCGGTGCTTCAGTATATGCATGAAAGTGGACTGTATAAGGCATTAGCCAATTTGTACAGAGCCTACTCATTCTTCTGCACGGTGATACCTGTCACATCAGCCAGTGGTGAGAGGTCATTCTCAAAACTAAAGATATTCAAGAACTATCGACGAAACAAATTGGTCACCAACGATTCAAGAGGCTATCACTTCCCTAAATCGGAAAAGAAATCGCTTGAATGAGGGCTTGAACTACGATGGAATACTAGAAACTTTTCCAAACATTTCAGAAAGAAGGTTGACATTGAAATAGTTCAAAAAAAGAATGATTCGTCATGTATTTCTTTGATTATTTGTAAAATTGCTCCTTTGTTCAGAGGCTTATACTGATTCCTTTAAATCCCGATTCTGTTAGTTATATCGTACGATAACCCACTTGATTGTTTTGCATGTAAAGATATTCCCATGAAACATTGCTCTGAAACAAGTTACAAACCAGTTAAGAAAATTTAAAAATTTAACATCATGTATTATAAGGGCTCCAAGTTTTCAAAGAAAATTTATTTTGAATTAACGCATTATTTTAAGTTTATATAGAAGGGTCATCAAATGACATTTTGGGAACATTTAAAAACTAATTTGAGCCATCATCTACTTTTTAACAGTCGGCAAATTTCACATTGATGCCCCCCAAAATTTGATCAAAAACGGCCATTGTGACAAGGTATAAACAAAAGTATACATGCAAAGTTCGAAAAACAATAAATAAGGAACCAGTTGGGCGGAAGAGATTGAGGGGTCGACAAATATGATTTATCTACCTTCAAGTAAAGGTCGCATAAAAAATCAGTAAACAAGAGGAAAGCATAAAAATGTTCGTCAGAACTGAGAACTGTTATTTCTTTCAGAGCTATATTACACTATTCTTAAGATAAAAGACTGAGTTTTAAAAACGGGAGTCTCCATCAGTTTCCAGTCGCATAAAGGGTGTGGCACAAAGACCAATTTTTATCCAATACCCCTCCCCTCCCCCCACTCCCTGCCGCTTAAACTCGTCCCTGAGTGCCACTACAAAATTGCAACTAAACGTACTCAGTAACAAATCTGTCGAGAATTTTCGATCCAAATATGTCAAACTTTGTGTGCCTAGATTTTCATCTATCAGTTGCATCTCTTTTCTTTTTCTGGTTAAGTCGTAAATGGCTGACCTGGGAAATAACATTTCTTCACAGCTTTTTGCACTACATGATTTTTAGCTGTATGGAAGAAAACAAGTTGAGGGGGGCCGAGCCTCCCAAATTCTTTTTAGAAAATTTAGGGGGGAGGCACCCCCTAAACCCCCACCATTGCATCCCTGGATGAAGACACTGTCACTTGATTTAGAGCTTCAGTCTGACAGCGGCCATTTTGGTCCCAAAGGCTGCATGAATTGTTAACTGCTTTCCACTTTTTCTTTTAGTTGCAAAGCTTTCCTTTCTGGCCTCTGCCAAGTACACCATCTTTTAACATCGTTTGCAAGCAAAAACCTGAGGCAATTTGCTGCCCAACTATGAGCAAACGGGCATCAGAATAATTTTCTTATTTCAAATAATTTTGATTTATCTGACAATAAAGATGCATTAAGGTTGCTGTACAAAAACTTTATTTGAACTGCGAGTTTGCCGTTATCGATAGTTTCTAATACCAATTTGTTTCTCCAATTATTCACAGTAATTTTTGTAGTATTTATACAAAAAAAAATTTTGCCGTCCTTACTGTGGGTGCCGTGAAAACCTATCCTTGGATTTAGGAGAAAACTGGTAGCTATTTGAAATTTAGGGGGTAAGAAAATAACTGCACTCTTCCAAAAATATCTTCCGCCCCACCCCCACCATAAATAATGGCTGGTCCCTAAACTAACCGACTACTAGCAAGAAAGGATAAAATAGTTGATTTTTTACACTTAAAATTATCGCGGATCCTTGTTTGTAAATTATCCTAATGTTCAAGGTTGGGTATTGGCCATTGATACCTTACAAATAATACCTGTAGTAAGGGATTATTAGGGGACCGAGGTCCTTCCTTTCTCGAGCCCCTAGTTGCGATCTCTGATCACCAATAGTCCTGTGGCTGGAAGAGGGAGCATTGCCACCTGAAAGGAGATTTTATCAGATCTACTTTTCTAGGGTAGTTTTTGGTGTAGATTTTGAAAATCTGAGTGCTGATCAGGCCGTTTGGGGGGCTTTTCCAATAAGTAGCGGGTGTAAGTATTTTAGGTCGATGTCTTTGATAAACAAAATACATAATTTTAAAGAAAAAGCAGTGCTAAAAGAAGCATATATGAATGAAACCTACCAAAATTAAGTTTTTTTATCATAGGGACCAATTCCTGGCAGGGGGCGGGAGGGAGAACTTACACAAAAACCTATGGTCTACGGGTGCTGTTATAGCATCAAGTTATCAGGTGCATAAATTATGCGAAATATGTATTGCAAAAGGCCTTGCTGTAGTTGTTTCTTGTGCTACTCAAGATACTTTGAATGGTCCTAGTGGTATGCAATATCCGGATGGAACAATCCTCTACTTCACAGGAAAGGGTAGCTTGTTGACTTCATTCATTTGATAGTGTTTCCATGTGCTGCCATGTGAAATCGTGTCCTATTTCGTTGTTCTAGGATATTGCTCGACTCTTTTTTACAGTGCTATTTATATTTCACATTGATTGGAAGATTTGATTGTGGAGCCCTTAAAATATGATTCTGTTCGTCAGAGCTTATTCTTCTCATCAGCCTTTCATCGTTGTTGTTAATTAAAGAATATAATTTGAAAACCATAAAATATCTTAGTTGGTGCCAATTACAAACACGACGGTTCCTTTCATTTCTTTCTCGGAATGTGAAAGAATTATGTAAATATTGCAGAAAGAAGTGAGAAATGTTGTATTACACTCTATTTTTTTATAAGAACAATTTTATAAGAACACGAGCCTCAAAAGTGGTCAAAAGTTTAGAACAAATTAAGAACAAGCTGGGGCTGAGCTTCTGCAAAATGCAATTTTGAACAACGTTTTTTCTCAAAATCGAGGATTTTTAGCTTTGTGTGGGTGCTTTTTCGGTGAATATTCAAATTTGTCAGAAAATTAGGCAAATGAGGCCTGAACACCTCCTTAGAGCGAAAAAGCTAGCAATAGCACTGCTTACACCCTCTTAATTTAAGAACAAATCAAGAACAATCCAGCCTCAGATTTTCGAAAACATTAAGAACAGTCAGCCTGGAATTAAATTTAATGATTCTTATAAAAAAAGAGTGTATTCAATATGGGAATTTAGAATTTTCAAATATTAACTTCACAACCCCCTGATATCTAAATCCTACGATAGGCTCTTGAAAAGCAGAGATGCAAGAATTTAACCCTTAGGACCCACTAATCAGGAAAAGCAGATTAGAGGAATTCCAGAACAGTTACGGTGTAATCAAGGTGAAAAGGCAAAAAAGAATCCTATGTGTACTGGAAGCCTTTCCATCAAGCGCCCCCCTGCAAAAGCAATCAAGGAAAGCAGCAGCTAATCCGAGTAGTGTATACATTCTTAGCTTTTGGTTTTTCAGCAATGGATAGAAAAAGAGCAACTCTTTTAAGTAATTTACGAGGTTTAGGTGGCCAAAAAACATCGTTTGGTTGTTGCTTGTTGAAGACTCTGAATATCCCCTCCAAATTTGCTGCACCTAGTTTCGAAGAGGGGGAGCGTCACCAATTGAAGCTCTTCAAACCAACCACGAGGAAGGAGACATAAGGGTATGCTTTTTGCTACACCAAGCATTGACAAGCAAAAACAGTGGCATTAATGAATATGTTCTTCTGTCAAGCACTTGGAAGATAGATAGATACGATAAAGCCCTTTAATTCTTGTCCCCAATGAAGTTTTAAATCTTGCAGTCTACATAGCCAGGGGCAATGGTAAGCAGGCGCGGATCTAGACCGGCTGCACAGGTTTTAAAAAACCGGTCAAATTCTAAGAGCCATGTTTCTCTGTGAATCTTTAATTTTTATCTAAAATTTCAATTTTGACTATTGCTGCATTTCTCCCTGACTGACTACAGTTCTTCTTTTTACATACTGAATTGAACCGTCGAGGAAATCAGTCGCCACTAAAAGCCAGTTGACAGTTTGGAGTATGCTATCTATGCGCCAATATGAAAACCGGTGACTAAAAAGCATATTCGATATCGATATCCATAGCCCGAAAGTGATATAAACGAGAAAGTGATATAAGCTTTAAAACGAAATGATATAAAATGTAATACGGGTGCAAATGAGAATCTGAGGTCTTGTATTGAGGTACTAGACTTTCTTTCTTGGAAAAACTCATGAAAATTAGTTGTTTCGGAAAAATTTTGAAAATAATAAACGATGAAGTTGCAAGAAGAGGATAAAAGGCTACGCTGAACCGAATAAAATTGTAACATTTTAGATAAAGTATGGGCAAATTAATCACATTTTACTTACCTCATTAACAACTTCTAGCAATATTTATGGACCAATAACACACAGGACAGTAACGTGGTAAAGCACCCCGAAACCGGTCATAATTTTGACTAGATCCGCGCCTGGTGGTAAGAATCAAAAGATCATTTATTTTCATTTAAAATCTTTACACACGAATTCCCTATCAGCTATAATACAAATATAAATAAACTACTTCTATTACAATTACGTCTTTAATATATATAAAATAAAGATGTTGCTGTTCTACCTAGGGATCGTATTTTGTTTTGGGAATTTATTAACTTTGTAGGAATCCTTTCAAGTTTCTTTGAAACATGGAAATTGTGGGGCTCATTCTGATGTTTCTTGGAATCTCATTCCATGTTTTGGCCCCAGAGTGAAAGAAACTTCGCTTTGAGAATTCCAAATTTTGCCTTGGGATCTCAATATCAAGGTGATTCCTTGTCGAATACCTGGATATCTCTGATCTAGTGATAAATTTACCTTTAAGGCTGTCAGGGCAAAGACCATTCATCATTTTGTACGTCATTATGGCCCTGTCATATTTAATAGGTTTTAGCATTAGTTTCAGATGATCCTTCTTCGCTAGAGGCAACTCTCATCGGCTTGCATTTTTACAGGAAAAATGGTTAGGGAACTAGCGAAAAGTACACAAGAGTTCTTGCCTACATTTGCATAGCTTGGTTTGTCAGCTGATGTCCAAGAAATGTTATTGCATAACTGATAATGTCACTTGTTTGGTAAAAGACATGACACCTGTTTAGAATATGCCTACCGAGAAAAAATTCTCGAGAAGTTCTGTCAGGGATGAGAAGTAGTTTACAGATTTATCACTCCTTCTTGTCACCTTCTTGTCAGCAATGACGATGAAACTGCAATTCGGTACAGTTGTTTAGATGAATTCTCTGATTATGAAAATTACGATTAGATACGAAAGGCTGGGTATATTAATTTGGAAGATTGTTAAGAAACTTTCTGTTTCTCACTGGAATACGTAGAATGGATGTGATGCCGTCGCGGAAATTTCGGTCTTACCATTCCCAAAAGTATTTGAATTGACCCATGTGGCAATAAATAAGTTTCTTTACTTATTTTTAGCAATATAAGTGCTTTTGTAGTCATTACAGGGCATAAAAACGAATTATACAGTAGAACAAAAGAAACCGCAACTAGAAAGATTAATACCCCCGTATCTCGGAAAATCCCCCCAAACGGCCTGATCAACACTCAAATCTGCATCAAAAACTACCCTAGACAAGTAGGTCTCTTTGAGTCTCCTTCTAGGTGGTAATGCTCCCCCTCCAGCCACTGGACTAGAACGTTTTACTTTGATCTCTTTGTTGTTTGCGGACAATATGATTTCATGAAGACCCCCGTCTGTTTTGTGTAACCATAAGGTGAAATTTGAATAAACTCAGGTTAATAATCCTTTGGGTAGTGATAGCCGAAGAGGAACACAGAGTTATGCGTTATGCCTCATCAAACACGTTAGTCGCTGGCTTCATTGACTCCAACAGTTGAATTCAAGAATGTGACTGTTTGCTTATTTAAGAGGAGAGTTTGGTTAAGTGCAGGTAACCCTGGATTGTCTTGATTCGAAAGCCTGGATTTTTTTGCAAAAGACTGTTTACAGAATGTGAATCAAGCTTGATAAAAAGAGGAAAGAATAATTTCACGTGGATTCTAAGTCAACCGTTGGGAAATAAACAAATATAATGGCGGCAGAATCAACCGCGGAAGCAGTAATTAAGTCGATTTTTATGGCTCTTTTCATTATTTCTGCCCTTGTTGGAAACACGTTAGTGTGCGTTGCGATAAGGAAAAATAAAAGACTCCAAACTTTGACAAATTATTATGTTTTCAACCTAGCTGTAGCTGATTTTCTTTATGGCCTTACTGGAATGCCTATGATTTTAATAACATCAATAGCGGGCGAGTGGATTCTTGGTGACGCCCTATGTCAGGTGAGTGGTACCCTCACAACACTGTTTGTATTGGTTTCCATTTGGACAATGTGCTTGATCGGTGTTAACAGATACTTTGCTGTAGGAAGGTCAACATCCTATAAGTCTATTTACAAAAAGAAGCGAGTACTGATGAGTATAGGTGCAGTTTGGGTGATCGCTACCGTCGTTTCCATCGCCCCCCAGTTTGGTTGGAGCAGCATCCGACAAGGGGACAATTTCTGCACAATCAATGGCAAAGATGAGATTTCATATTCAATTTTCGTCATCTTGTTCGCATACCTTGCTCCTCTTCTCGTTCTTACCTGCCTCTACACGAAAATATTTGTTATTTTACGGAATCACGAAAAAACTATGGTAGGAATGAGGAGTGGAAGTCAACGAGCGTATTCTGAAAATGATGGGGACTCCATCGATATGAGTAGCGCTTACAAAGTAGAAATTGAAAAAGCCACAAGCCTGCCACGAGACGTGGTATTTGATAAAACTCTGGCTCAAAGTAGCCCAGAAAAGCAAATTAACAAATACACCGCTGATCAAAATAACACAACAAAGAATGGACCTGTACTCCAGAACGGGGGTGAGGTCAATTCAAACAGAGACTCGTTTGCCGATGTTTCCACCGCGCCAGCCAACACTGTGGAGGGAAGTGCCACGGATTCCGTTGCCGAAGAACCGCCTGCCGAACACGGGAATGACATAGAGAAATTCGAAAATGCCGATGGTTCAAAGTTAGCCACCGCGTCTGGCGAGGAGACTCCAAGGACAGCTTCTGATTCTGGTGTAGCGCTGATGTTGAACAACAAGCAAGGACAACCTACGGTAACATATCACGCAGACGTAGAGAATTTGAACGAGACGCAACAGCCGCGTAAGACACGAACTCTAAGCGGTCTTGCAAACGCTCTTAAGTTAAGACGTTCGAGAACAAGTAAAAAGATTAGAAAATTCAAAATGGAGGCAAGAATAACAAAAATGTTGTTCGTTGTGGTAGCTGTTTTCTTTCTTTGCTGGACACCATTGGCTTTGGCCGCTGCGCTGTATGCCTTCGGCGCAGAACCCAAGAATTTCAACTTTTTTAGTTTTAGTTTTGTGATTGCATCAATCAATTCAATTTGCAACCCAATTATCTATGCTTTTATGAATAAGCTATTTCGCAAAGCTTTTAAGAACTTGTTCACAAGCTGCCGTATGATGAACAATGACTCTCAAGAGACAAGTTGATCAACTGCACGTGAGCTTTGGTTCTGGAATAACTGAGTCAGTTTTACCGTAAGCTGGCAAAAATCCAGGTTCCTCAAGATGTTAGCGGTGTCCAGAATGTAAAAGCCAATTTGATTGATAAAGAAAATCGCTAGATATTAGATGAAAAATGGGAGCAGATCATTTTAATAGTGTTTTGAAATACATTTTAGGCAACTTTTATGTGTGTTAACGAAGGTATTTCTCAAGGAACACAAAGATTACTCATTGCTTTGCTACATTTGCATGTGGAAGCGTTACTGTTTTAACTTTATTTACATCGGGGCTCACATGATATGCACGCATGTTTTATTCGAATTTTCATGTCTACTTCCAGTGGCGTAACGGGGGTATCTGGGCCCTAAGGAACAAACGTAGACCTGAGGCCCCTATATACGGACTGCAAGAAAGTCCCATCCGGTCCCCTTCAAGGGTGTAGAGCATTTCAAACACAAAAAATATGTAAAAGTGATAAGTGTTTTGTTAACTAGGGAGAGCTGAGTTATTAAAGCTTCAGCTGAAGAGCTTTGAAAGTTTTTGAAAATGACTTGAAAGTGACCGTAGTCGTTGAATATCATTGATATAAATATCATTTGAGGGCCACCTTTGGTCAGGTTATCTGCTCTAAACTGTGTTACGCCACTGTCAAATAGAACATGCTGGTTTGATACTAGCTAGCTACCCTTTACCAGTTAAATTTCTTTGATGTAAATGTGTCAGGGACCTTATACCCTAGATACCAGTTACTAAGGTCTTACTGATTGATCAAGGCTGACAACTCTAAATTCTTTTAGCTGGCTTTTATATTTCAATGTCCAAGTGGTTCCGTGAGAGTTCATGAAGTTAGCTCAAGTCGCACACACATTAATTAAACATTTCATTCAAGACTGCTTTAACACAAGATATCAGCCGAAATTCGTGTAATATCCCGCACCTTAACAAGTTCTGTGTAAATATTTTTAACTTATATGAAACATGCAAACATGCAGCTAACGTAAATGTAAGATTTGCAGTTGAAAGTAATCAGAAATTATGTCACTGTGGTAGCAGCTTTTGCCGTTTTTAGAAGTAAATAATGTCTTTATGTAAGGATCCGGTGCTCTGGGGGACGACCATACTATGACCCAGTTCCCAGTACTCTGTTTTCCAATTTTTCCATTTTCGAATGACACTGCGAATATCAAGTAAATCCGTTTTCCAGGGTATTAACGGGAACGATGATGCAAAAACGGATTCATTCACCACCGCTTCCGTACAAAAACAGAGTAATGGAAACAGGGCCTATACTTATTATTTTTCTTAACACTGCATTCAGTTGTTAGTTTTTCTATATATTCACCGATATCAAGCGTGACGTCAGCAAGTAACTTTTCAATTCGCAATGTTATTTCAGATTTTTCTGTCCAAATTCCAAAAAAAGATCTGAAATAGGTATGTGTGCGTGTACTGGTGATCAGTGTACCACCCCGTGCTTATCTAAGTCTTGCGTTTGCTGGATTCTGATATTTCTCGATAACCCCTGCCCTCTTATTATCACCCCAGTCCTTAACAACTTGTCGGTGATTTCCCATGTCAGCCAGGCTTATCGTCTCCAGGCCACAACTTAGATCAGTACATTCTTGAAAACCAACTTATAACAAATATGTTCACACTGAACTGTGAAATTTTGCCCTGAGCCCAAAGCTTAATTAAATTTTGGTGCCTGTTAATTACTGGTTTAAAGGAAAGTCTTGCTCAGGATATGTAATCTTTTACAGTTTTCCGCTAGAAAATTAGTCAAAGTTTTACAAGGAAATCGCTATTACTGAGACAGTCATTTTACTAAACTGTTTCGTATCCATGGTACTTTTTCTTTGTAACGTAGGTATATGGGTTGACATGACACGACTGTGTTAGAGACAGTTAAAAGGGTTTTCAGTTAACCGTTTCCGTGAAGTTTTATGACAACGAAGATAGTAAGCAACTTAGATCCAACTTTAATAAGATCAAAGCATGCAGTATGCGGACAGCGCCTGCAAATTGACGTTGTTTCGCCCTAGTCACTGAATAGAGATTCTATATCAATAACGCGTGATTACGTTATGATTCATCCGCCCGCAAGTCTTTCCTTCATCCCAGAAATTGACCTTAGTCCGTAGCCAACTTGAATCATTTACCCATAAAACCGAAATTTATATTTAAAACCCCTTAAGTTGTCTACCCGATACCAACCCCTTTAATTTGTTTCCGATAGGATGAAGCTAAATGGACAGTTCTTTATATATTTCCCTTAGTTTGCGGTATATTGAGAAAAGTGTTTTGCCGGTTCCAAATAGTAACTTTTATTTTTTATTGATTTAAAGGTAATGTTGATTAATGTATACATTCAAATGTTGAAAGCTATATAAATGTTATTATTTGATAAACAGAACAATGACCCCCTGGATATGCTGAACATTTTTTTGTTATTTTTCCTTTATGGGCATATTTCCCTTTGGCTTTAGCTATTCAACTCTTAAAAAGATAATTGGTCAACTCCTTTCGCGGCAGGACACCATTCTTCAACAAGAACACTTTTAATTCGAAGGTCATTCATTACTCTTTTGTCGTTGTTCTTCATTCAAATTCCAAGCACGCTGCCTACATTCATTTTCGTTAAAAGAACTATTGGACACAGAATGCTTGATGTTTACTAATAATGATGATGAATAAAGAACCACAAAGAATCCCAGTTCACAATGAAAGGGAAGTTCTTAAAAAGATTTGTAGGAGATTGGGGTTGGGTCGTACGTACGTTTTGTATAAGAAACTAGTTTGTATAAGGTTTCCCGATATTTCTGATTCTTTTGAATTCAACGTGACCCATTTCCTTTTCAATGGACATAGATAAGAAGAGAAACTCCTTTGCGACTTATTAGGTGTTTTATTCCATATTACTTTTTGTTACAGTTTTGCGATATGAACCTTTAGTAAACTTTTAATCCTATGTTTAAGAAAAGAATGAAAAAAACTTGACCCTGATCAAGAGCTGCGTGTAAAAAAAATGCCTTGATTACGACAACCCTCTCGTTTTTTTCGAAGCAGTCCAACTTTTGAATCAAGATATTCCTTTTGTCGGAGATTCCGGCTCACTTGAGATCGAACAAGAAATGATGCGCCAGTTAATAATTCATTTTCAAACAATCTTTAATTTCAGAATTAATACTTTGTCACAGACTCTTACGATTCGGTCTTGAAACATGACTCCATTCCAAAAGGAAATAGCACGAATTCTTTTTTGAATTTTATTATTCAAATAAAGGATTAAGGAAGTGTATAAAATGATATTAGCCTGGTTTCGATAGAAGCGGGATGTTTTTATCTAGGGTGTTATACGCATAGGCCCACAACAGATTTTTTAACAGTGACGTCATACAAACTGATTTTAGAATTTTTTTACATTTGACTACTTAACCTGAAAGAAAACCGCGAAGTACACTGAAAATGCAAAAATCAGCTTAATATTGGGCGCAGTTTCTCAATCAAAGATTTATAACCTATCACTGTTATTCTGTTTAAGTTTAGTATCGTAACAAAATTGCCAATTTGCAACACAATTTTTTAAAATTGCATATGTAGCGGAATTTCATCATGTTTTACAAGAAGTCTTTGGAGTCTTCTGCATTGTTTTCTATACCATTCTTTACTGCAGGAGCGTTGTAGTTCCAGTAAATAGCTAGCAGGATAAATGACAATTGACAACAGCAATATAATATACAGATGTTGTATACAAGTACAAAAATAAAATTTGACTGATATGTAAAGTTTTATTGATATCTTTGACGTTTTATACTCTAAGAAATGTCAGAAGAAAAAGCTTTTAGTTTGTTGTAAAATGTTTGAAACAATTTTTCAAAGCCATTTTTAATGATATCTTATCTTGTATCGTTTATTTGCTTTGATTGCACTGTTTATAAAAGTAACTCTGCTTTTTCTAGTAAATCTATTAAAGTAAATCTATTAAGTCAAATGAATTTCAACCTTTCAAATTCTGCTATTGCAGGGCTTTGAATGTGGTGGGGAGGGGACGATGAAGTGATTCTATCCGCTATAGTTGTCTGTTTCCTATTTCCTTTAACAGAGAACTGAATGGAAAGGAATTAAATCGACAGCCAGTACAAAATAAAATCGAGCAATAAGACAATGCCTTCCTTCTTACATCCCCGTCTGGCTGCTTTCCCAACAAACTAATAATTTTGCCAACTATCTAATGAAAAGTTGGTAGACTTCCCCACCCTCAATCCCCTCTCAATGTGTATCAAAGCGACACTAAACTGTTTGCAGTTACGTGCATTCCTTGCCTTTTCAAAATTTTCTTGCTACCATTTTCGAAAATTCGCCAGACTTTTGTTGACCTAGTTGATAATCATATTGCAATAGAATTTCAGTAATAATCTTGCCGTTGCTAGCTTTCTTTGCTTCAATCTGTCTTGATATTGTTAAGATGTTATGTCTACTTTAATAATTGTATATCTAAAAAAGGACTGATTTTGAACGAAATAGGTCGATTTAGTCATTGTTAGAATGGTGTCGAGAAACTTGCCAAGGAACTCGTGTTATATGCAAGTAACAGGCGGATCCTTCAGCGTTATATTTCTGTCTCGTTGGCTTTGAAATTAGACTTTATTACTCTTTATTTCTGTAGCGTTATTTTATGGAGTATCTAACTTGAATATTACATTGAGACCACAACTGATAAATGTTTGAGAATCTTTGACGTTACCTTTTCCTTAACTGCTTGATAAGGTGCCCCGTTCGATAGGTGCTTGAAGTCGTATGTTTATTATGATTGTTTTATGAAGACTGTACATAATAAGATCAGCATAGATTTAATATATATCTAGCAATTCATGCAGCAGTATTATATTTAATCTCTCCAATGCTAAATGCTAATATGTATCTAATAACTAGTAATGTCAGAGGTTATGTCAAGTCCGTAAAGTTTAATGAGCACACTGAAGAAAGCAGAGAAAATAAGAAAATTGACAAATCTCGTATATATTTACCTATATTGTTGTTTATCTGAATTTTTGCGAACTTTTAAGGATGTGAAGTATTGACATGTTTATTTTTAATCTTGATATTCTCACCAGACTGTTTTCCTTTCTGTTACTTTTTAACACAACTTTTCCACCCAGGGCCCTATCTGCCATACCCCTGTATCACCCTAACCCTAACCCTAACCTTAACCCTAACTCTAACTCTAACCTTTTCTATAATTTCTATTTGGCTTTCTGCATTGAATTCAATTACACAATTGCATCAATTATAAACTGATGCAGTGCTTTTTCCCCTTTTTCCCAGGCTTGAAAACAATTCTTACATACTTCAATACTCAAACCCCTTTCCAATCACCATAATATCAAACAACTCTCAGACATGTTGTGCTAATAAAATACAAGCTATTCAATAATATTGTACTGCTTTTGAGCACCTAGACAATCACACAAAGTGGCAGTACTTGTCGCAAAATTGACGAGAATTCCAATTCATTCCATTCTAAAATCATTTGAAGTAAGTAAATTCCTAAATAGGTTCATTTTCATTTGTAGCGATCTATTTTTCGACCTTTCGTCCTATTTTGACAGTTTTCAATCTTTCTAATTTTTGTTTTTCCGAATTGAACTTTTGTTTTTAAAAATTCTCATATTTTTCTCATGGCCTGTGAAATTGGATAATAATTGTTGTTTTCGAATGTTCATTGCAGTCATTCAACACAAAATTATTTTTCCAAAACTTCTGTTTATTCCACATAAATATCATAAGCCAGTTCTTTCTCGAATAACCAAACAAGAGGAAGTTTCTAGCGAAATAATTGGGATGATGTCATGTGTTCAATGTTCTGGCAATACGTAACTAGCAATACGTAATAACACGTGACTGGCAATATTCTCAGCCATGCAGCCGAAATTAGTCCTTGTAATGTCCGCTTTTTATCATTCTCTAAATCACATCACATGACATCAAGTTTTTCCTTTAACCTTAAACTGACTTCGGTCTTAAATAATTCAATGCAAATTGATGCATTTTGGGTTGTTCAAAGTATTTATGTAGAAATTTTCTTTGTGACTTTATCTTCTCTTCTTGTCCTTTTTTCTTTTGTCTTTTCTTATTCTTCTTCTATCTTCTAAAAGCTTCGTTCTTTTCCTTCCGTTGCTTTTTTCGCATCCTTTCTTTTTCCGGGCTCTTCCATTCGAGTCTGATGGTTTCATGGTGGAATCCTCTTGTGGAATCGATGCTGTGCTCCAACAACGGCAGCAAAAACAACAACAACAAAAACATTTATCATCGTACAAATAACCAGTACGGCGACAATAAAGACATCGTGTTAGTTGTATTCCAACTTCTTTTGACGCAAATCAATATGACAAAGCGATTCAGTTTATTGAAATTCTAGTTAAGGCAAAATGGTTAGTTAGGACGAAGTCCATGAGATTACATAATGAGGCTAGTTAGGATTTTCCGGGTACGATAAATTCAGTTGTATAAAATTATAGTTGAAAAAAACTATGGACGTTTCGACTCTTGCTAGATTCATCTTCAGTATAAAATAATAAAAGACAGTTTCACTACAAGTAGGAAAGAACTATACATTGAGAATCACAAATCATGTGACCTAATAGTAGGGGGGAGAAGCAATCAGGATTTAAAGGAAGACATAGAAATTTGGTAATCAACCTAGAGAAGGTAAACAAAAAACAAAGGGAGAAAAAGGGAATGAAAGGAGGAGGGAAAAAGTCAGAAAAGATGACTGCTAGTAATTAAGTGAAGGTTTATACCTGTGTATGAGAAGGCGTACGTGAATAAGAAAGTGAAAGGAGTCATTTTATCCAGAAATAGAAAACTTTTTAATAGAAGCTACGTGTACAGTTTTACAAGTATGATCAGGAATGGAGAAAGGGCTAGGAGATATAACATTTTTTCCGTGATTCTTATTTCCCAAGTGCAATACAGTAAGTGGAATTAAGCATTTTCTTTTTTTCCCCAAAATCACTTTATGTCTACGGTTCCTTTAACTTTACAGGGTCTCTCGAAATAATCAACACTGATACAGTTGTTTATATCTGGTGACTTTGTTGCATGTTTCACCTCTTTGCACCAGACTCCAGAGTACAAAACCCCTGTAATGAAATCCAATCTTTCTTCAAATAGCACGAGATATCTGTGTTTTACATTATTAGTCATTTCATACGATTATTTTTGAGGTCAAATATTCTTGGGAGCCATCTGCGGCATAACTGACATCTGCTGGATTTTTCTCATTTTCTTCCAAATTCCATCAATATTTTATTATAAGTCAAGTATTTCTTTTTGCGGAATACGCCTAACTACCTTCGCCTGCCTTTTAATATTATTGTGCAACTTTGCCAACTGTGTTTTAAACAAAATCATCCTCAGAGGACTGAATAAATTGTCTTTTGGCCTAACATGATTTGCGTCAATGAGAAAAACTGCGTTTGTAAAACCTGAATTTTTCATTAGAAACCGAGTTGTTCACCAGAGTAGTTTAAAATGAAGAGCAAAATTCAAAAGCAGGAGGGTGAAATTTTTCTGGTTCTAAAGTTGGGGCATTCGAATGTAGAATAGCATTCCGGCTTAAAATTTTAAAACTTTTGTTTAGTATGAACAATTTCCATAAAATTTAGGGACACGGTGAAATTTGGAGTTTCCATGAAGCAGGTCTCAAAATGCATTTAGGTTTAAATCTTTAATTAATTAATCAATAATTGCCCTTTTTTTAACCCCATTTTGTGCCTCTAAGAAATTCTAGTTTAGCAGTTAAACACCCAAATATTGGAGTCCATTTTGAAAATCTTGATATAAGCCGCACTGTTATAAGCCTAAAATCCATCAACAGTTTGAAGTTATACCGTTTGTTCTTCTCATTCATTGTGCCGATCAAATTAATCAAACGTTGCTTGCTAGAAATTTTTAAGTTCAAAGAACTCTTAATCAACAGTTCTAGCTACAGCACTGTTGTTTGGTATCTGTCATTAACAATTAGGCATTGCTATGTTGCTCAATCATTCATTACCTAGCAAGGCTTTTTCTTCGATTCAGTTAAACCTGCGGTTGCCTGTACGTTTGCGGAAAACTAACAAAAAGTTCAGAGAACCTAGTTGTCTGCAAATCTGCCAAGTAATACAATAAGCTCTAGCTAAAGCTATTATTTCATTTTGGTCTCTACGGTATAGTTTTATCCAATTGTATCTGCTTTATCTCAGTATTCATTCTGTTTTACTGTCATGGTTCTTTGCTACGAAGTCACAACAATTACTTGTTGAATCTGTGAACATCTGCAACAACTATTCCATGATTCCATTCACATAGCGTGGGCTTCAAAACTGCTGGGAAGGGCAATGGGGTGGTGGAGACAAGTTTGAAAAATTGTAAAAGATGCTGTGTATGATACAACACTGGCATTGAATGTTCTGTTACTGAAATGCTACGAGAAGGAGGCCTAATTTTATCTTATGGAATATTTAAATTGTCTATAGCTCCTGGCTTCAAAGAATTCATGTTAAGAGATTTTTTTAGGAAGATTCTTCTTCTAAAGTTTTTGAATAATTCATTGTATTAACGCGGATACATTGCTCAACCTTCTTATGAAACTTAACAAAGGTTTAAATTAGCTTTTGTCAGAACGCTCTCTTTTAGTGAAAGAAGCTGTAACTTGTCAGTACTGGATTAAACCAAAATTGGGCCTGATGCTGCAGCACAAAAAGAGCCTATTATTATCCGAATTCAATTTCAGGAAAATTCTCGTTTGTTTTTATCTTGGCCTATTTCAGGAAAAGAACGTACGCCAAATAGCACCCAGGTCAAAACAAGACTGTATGCAGGCGTAACAAATGCAAAATTCCATTTCTTTTTTGGTGATAAAAATAGTTGCAATAATAGAGTCACAAATGAATGGAAATCGGTAAATGACTAGAATGAATGAACATGTCAATTAATCAGTTGTATATTTTTAGCATCAATTACTTAAAGTATTAAGTACACCAAAAATTAAAATGAACAAGCAGGAGGTACATATGTTTAGCTTTTCTTTTCTTAAATCAAACTAGATTATCTCAAACTGTTTTGCTTCAAATGAGTTCACGTACGGGGTCTGTTCATCAATCAAGCACATTGGACGCTCACTCAAAACAAAATGATAGCTTATTACACACTATGAATAAAGATTTAAACAGCTGATGCATCCTAAGATTTTGTGCAGTGCGTGTTGCTTGAAACATTTCTTTGATTTTCAGCTGTCCTCTTTCGCTCTAATTTTGCCAAATGTTTATCGCCAGAAACACTGCAATAAAAAGAGACGTGAATGAGGTAAGTACACTTTTGGCATTTTCTATCTATAGACGCATGACAAACAAAGCTATGATTCAGTCGGTGCTATGCCGAAAATTTTGATATGTTTTGATCATACTTGCAAGCAATCCTTGCAAGCAACACTGATAGTTTTCATTTTACAGTAGCTTTCTTTGTTCTTCAACAAATTACGTTACTTTGCTACAACTTTATTAAATTGGCTACAACTTTCTTTAATTTACTACAACTTTCTCTACTTTTTCTTCAACTTATCTGAATCATTCAAGTAAATGGGACATTGAACAATGACTTTTAAATATTAGACAAAATGCTAAAAATTTCTGTACAATTATCTATTTAAAAAAACGAGAAACCAATGCCTACCCATATCGTTAAAAATTTAAAGAAATTGCTCCTGCTATGGCATTAAAAGGAATGTATATTGGAAAGCAAATTCATAACTTTATTGATTGAGTCACGCACCCTATTGATCAGATGGTGCAAATCAAAGTTGTTTCCTATCAAAAGCCTCGTTTTGAAGTTTACAGAAGAATGCTTTGCCCTTGAATAAAGTTAAATTTCATTCAGGATGCCACTTGAATTTAAAAACATAAACATTAATTTAATGCTAAAAAAATGCCATAAAGAACCTTTAAAGTAGGCTATGCTTTTCTGAGAAAAATTTTATTAATGGAACCAAAGTTTTCATTTAGAGCTACCTAGTACACGGATAGCGTCTCAGCTTTGTGTAATGCTTGTTATTTTAGCTAAAATCCACATTTTCTTTATAAGTCAGAATAAAAGATAAAAATACGAACATAAATCAGAGCAGCATTATTGTTTATCTGGCGACTTAGGCAGCCTTTCCATTTTCATGTGATCAGATATTCTTTGTCGAAAGCGAAAGGGATTTGAAAAGCCTTTGTGGCATTTGAAAGGTACAAATGGGAGAAGAAGTTTTTAAATCTTTTGTAGAGAGCAAGAGAAAAGAGAGAAAAAGAAAGGACCTTTAGAAACGGCGGAAAAAAGATCACTTACAACATCGTGTGTGCAGTTTGCTTGACAGCCAATCAGATTAGCGAACCTATCATAATGACTCAGCAATTTTTGCAATTTGGGTAAACCCTTCCTATTTATCATGACTCAATGCCTTTAAGCGTTGCTGTTGTTGCAAGTGGGTTAGAAATTTTCCGGGTTTTGGCGTTTCCATTAACTCGCAGGTGGGTCAAAAGATATCCGGGTACAAAATTGACTCATGTTTTCAAACTTATCCGTTTTTCAAGTGGATTAGTGGGAGCGCGACGCAGAAACGGATAACTTTTAAACCGTTTTTGTTTTAACCCGGGCTAGTGGAAAGGCTGTCTTAATTAGCATAAGAACCAACCGCGACCCTCTAAAAGAGGGAATGGCAACCGCCCGCAAAAAAGGTGAAAGACAACCTCTCTCTAGAGTTAATTCAATTAGTGGTTTGGCTTTGGCCTTAAAAATATCGAGAAGAGAACCAAGTAATGAATAACACTGTTTATATAGCTTTAAACAAGTTAAGAAATTGATAAGAGATTTCGGTTATAATTTGAAATTGTGGCAATTTCAATATGTCCTCCTATCTTTGAGAACGCTTGAGACATTTTTGTCCATACCCTATTAAAGATTGTCTGAATCCTCGCAGAAAAGAAATTGGAGTTATTTTTGGAGAAGGACCTTGTTTTCGAAACATTTTTATTTTCACTATGCTTTCAAAAGCCAAACAAGCACCATTAATATTTACACATAAACACAATATGTTTATTGTTTGCAGGACTTTGCATAATTTTAAGAAAAGTTTGATAATTTTATTACCTGTTACATTAAAATCAACACCAACATTACCTGCTAGTTTAACTACACCTCGCCAATGTAAATGATTGCCGCTCCATAATCGCCGTTTAAGCAAATCTAACGGGTCTTTTCTGTTTTCATTTGATTCAATACTATTAAAACTTTAAAACATAGCTAGAAAGATATGACCGATCTCGATTTTTAGTTTCTTGCCTACCTAGAGCCTACCTATTACTATATCAATGATCATGGTGAGTCAGCGACAGTTTAATAGAGAAAGAGACAAGGGGAACGACTTTGACATCCCTATACTGTACACTTTATGTGGCACAAAATTCAGTTCGTCATTACTTGCAAGTAGCTTTTTTCGAGGAAAGAACGCATTGCCTAGCATCATAGCAAGATGCCATGACACCTTTTCAGTCAATGCAGTTGTGACTTTATAATTCTACTCCCGAATTATCTTGACTTGCTTTCAATAGTGTTTTTGGTGCTTCACTCACAAAAGGGTGATGAAGAGAAAAATTCACAAAGAGCTCATACCCTAAGCTCGAGCATTCTCCAATCGCTGTTTTATTATCCTGCACGTAAATAATATCTGCACGTAAATAGTTGAATTAGATATAAACTATAAAAGAAATTTTTCATATACATAAAATGAATAAACAGTCTACTTCTTATCCTTGTGCCATTATCTACAGAAACCTTTTTCCTATTTCATGATCATACGAAAACCTCAAATTGTCAGAATCGTTCTGTAGGAGCAGCTGTAATGATCTTTAAGGTTTTCATTAAAAGCAAGACGGTCAATCTAATACTTCGAAAGAGCCTTCTTAAAAAAATTTCTGTCTCGTATTAGTACCAGTTAGTACTTATGAAGCTACTTTACTTTCTGGAATATTGGCTAAACAGCACATGTGTAGAAAGACATGTATTGCTTAATTGGCCTCTGTGGTGTGACAACCCAAGGTTGTGGGACCGAGTTGTCGTCCGCGACCTGTACTGCTCACCTCTGAGGACAACACCATTGGGCAAAGTGGTAACAGATATTGTCCTGGGCATTGTTTAAAGTTGCAAAAAAGCTTTTGGCTAATGATAGACTATAAACCACCACTTCACACTTCTCTTCGCTAATTTATGCAGTCTTATGAATATTTTTAGCACCATCACTTTACTCTCTGTAAAAGCTCTTTTTAAATGAGAAATCCTTTGTCATTTTGTATTAGAGATTCTCTTGAATATATTATGAAATACAAAAAAGATTAGTTAAGTATCATTATGTTAGTTTCAGTAGAAAAGAAATCTAACTTTACTAGCGTATAGCAGCACCCGCTGATGGTATCCCTCTCATGTTTGTAAACCCAATAAAAGTATTTCCTTGTCTGGTCATTTCCAAGAAATGATGTTTCTGCAAATACTGTTTTTTGCCCTTCTTGTTTCGAGAAACGCCTGCGTATTTATTCTCGCAAACCTCGTGGTCGAAGATGTAAGCGTTTTCCAACCCTGTTTAATCAACTAATTTTGCCAATTCATTTTTTTAATTTCTTAATAGGCCAAATATTGCTTTAGTGTGAATACTTGAAAAACGGTTGCTTATAAGAAAAACAACAAACACAGGTGGCAGACAACGCCCAATTAATGTCTGTCTTTGTGGTCAAGTACAAGTGACATAATACACGGAGCCAATATCAAATAAGGGTGATATACTTTGCTGGCTAACTGTCAATTCAGGTTAGTTCTAACTGAACGAACACACTCGAAGCAAATAGAAGCAAAAAACGCCTAAAGAAATTCAAGCTTTTTATGAAGCTAGTTTTTGATGTAATGTTTGTCTGACAAGTTATCAGCGAAGAAGCTAATTTGTTAATGGTTCACCAAAGAATTGACTGTATTCAAGAGCTATGAAATAACATAAAATTTAGAACAACAAATAAAGGTCAATGTAAGAAAAAACAGGAAATAACCGGAATAGCCTAGAAAAAACCTCTAAATATGCGTCAAATCTCAGTAAGAGGATTAGCAAGTTTTGTTGCAGAAGTGCTTTACCTTGCCTGTAGTTTGAAGACAAGAACCTCAATTTTATCTCCTTTATCGATTGCATTCAATTTGAATTAATTCCACCTGTAACCTTTGCATTAAAGTTCATTTCGAAAAAGATTTTGATTTAAACAACATAATATTCTACATGATTATGTTTTTGCTTTTCTTGTTATCAATTAGTTGTATTAGTTATCAAAAAGAGATTCACGACTGGCACCTTCTGTGTATTAAGATATTTTACTAATTTTCAGTAAAAAGGTATTTTCTAAACTTTTGTTTAAAAAAAAATTTTCTGAAGTTTTTTGAGAATAAAAGGTTATTTAGAGACAAACAGTGTGGACCATCTTTTTGTAAACCCTTGAGAATTTCGTAGCAGAATCTGACTTGAAACGTTTGGCATAATAAAGAGACAAGATATATTATCGCGAGTTGACCTATAATTCTTTTCTAAATCATTAAATTGAAAGTTTAGTCCTGCTCAAGTGAAATCGCATCATCTCTCCAATTCTAGCTATAATATTTTTTTGCAAATCAAGCAAGCTCATTTCGGGTAGTTTTCATGATAGTTAAGCTAAAGCTTTGACTGTGGTTTAACTCAAATTTTAACGCTAGCCGACAGATATTTACAATATAAAAAGGTATTAACATATTAATTCGACTTTTTCTTGATTGTTTAATGTTAGAAGCAAACGAGAAAAGAGTGAACGCTCACTTTTTGCGCAAAAGTTGTTTGTATTATCAGTTAATAAGTGTTTTAGCTGCATAAACCATTTAATTCTAATTGTTGATCCTAAATTCGTCGAATATAAACTTTTTTAAGCTTTCTGAGCCTCGTACAATGAGAATATTCAGCTTTGATGAAAGGACAAAATGTTCCTCATTTTGACATGATAAAGCAAACTACGTAATAAAATGCCCAATTTTCGTTAAAGTCATCGTCAAGTATTTTGCAATTTAATGATAGGCTCCTTGCATTTTCGTGTAAGAAATTTTTTTTGACCAAGCCACATATTGTCGGAACCTCTAACCATAGTCATGACTATGCTCTAACTTGCGGAAAAGGCTGCCACCCTGATATCATTTTTATTGTCTCCCTATCACTTCACTAAACAGAATATCTGTGTTCAGATGATATTTACCAAAATTACATTTCCTTCAGACAAAGCGTCATAATTTGTCCAATACCGTTTTCTCTATCTCCTGTTTTATATTAAAACGAGAATGAAACCTCCGAGCAGTTGTGTTTTTTTATTTTATCTATGGCTATTTCAGGGATTAATATAAGGGTTTTTTGGACGAGCACGGCTAAGCTAAATGTGACGACAAGTCCGTAATTTTGTTTATAACTCTAGATAATATACAGGGGGGGAGGGGGGCGATGGAATACAAATTTACCTGATTGAAAAATTATTGCCTGAAATTCTTTAGTTGCTGTCACAAACCACTACAATACATTTTGTCAATCTAACTTTGTATATAATTCGCAACTTTTATTTGTATATGATAATAACGGACTTTCTTAATAGTTTTGTCAAATCTGTATATCGGGACGGTCAAAGGATATAGTCACTACCCGAAGCGGCACCACGGTTGTAGCCGAAGGATTAGAAAATTTTCGAATTTTAATGCTTCCAGTTCTCTGGAAAATGCACTCTTTTGAGCAAATATCACTAAAGCAGTCCTGCTAATCCTATTGAAAATTATCTTTTTGGCAAACAAATTGAACAGCAGAAAAAACAACTGGTACAATTTCGCCGTGGTCGTGAAAAATACCATGTTGTCAGTTGTTTCTAAGGCTGAGTAACAAGCAGCACTGGTTCTCAGGTGCTCGTAGTGAATTGCAGTTGACGCTTTTTCCTGGAAACTTTAGGGGAAATGGACATTACCTATTTTTTACCTAATTTTACCTAAAGAGGGCCTGGGTTTTTAGATTAAGTTCCAACAAGAAATCGTCAAATCTTCAAATAATGAGTTTGTTGACTTTCATTCATATCAAAGAATATCATATTTAACCAACGGAGCAACTCCTTTCTTGATTTTTTGAGAGAAAGGTCTCTGAAATACCTAAAGCGTTTCTTTCATCGAGCGGATTTTACTTGAAATTTCTTATAGAGTCCGAAGCGATGACGTCATAAACATCTATTTTTAGAATTTATTAACTTTGTTCCCAGAACCTGAAAGAGCATCATGAAATACTTCTAAATTTGCAAATTCAGTTTAAGCTATTACGAATTGGCTGAGATATGGCTACATAAGCACAGGCTCTTGCCTCGCCAAACCTCTGTTGTTTGGTCTTGGTTTATAACTTTATGAACCAGGCCAGTTTTACAGTAATCCGTTAGCAATCTTTGAACCTTCCATTGGCCATATCTCGCCCAATTTTGAGCATAATTAACTGATTTTGCATATTGAGAGGTATTTTATGCTGTCCTTTCAGATTATGTGGTCAAATTTTTTCAGAAATTTTAAAAAGATTTTGAAGTTTTAATACTTACTTTTCGTGCTTTAGTTCTGCATAAATCTTCTAACATCCTTTTTCATAAGAACAAAGATATACTTGAAAATGGCTTTGAAATGCCATTTTCAAGATATACTTGCTTTGCTAATGAGTGATTTTAGATTCCTTTGGCATATTTATGATTTCATTGAACAGAATTAGTTTGCACAAGCTTGTACCTATTTATTCTGTACTAGACGCATAATTTTCTTACTTTTTTCATAAATTTCTAAGATCCAACAAAATATATCAGCATTATTTGTAAAACAAAATATTATGACAATATTTGATACATGACAGAAACGTAATCAATTATATTATGGAAATAATGATATATTCAACATTTTACCCTCAGCAATATATCGTATTGTAAAATTTTGTGCACAACAGAGCCCTGCCTGAATCTTAGAAAGAAAGCTTTATTTGAAATATCTATATTCATTTCTACACTTCAACTTTTTAGTGAAATATAATTTGTAGAAATGCTGTCATCGATAACCTTCTTAATGCCTTAGCTAAATTCCATTTTTAAAAATTAGTAAGGATTTTTCTTTAAAGATATCTTTTTGCAGATCATTCTAAGAAGTAAGTTTGAAAATGACGTCATCCTTTATAATCACCAATGAATATTCTTCAATGAGAATGTTCTTAGACATTCAGTATTTTAACATTGGATTTGTTTTTGTTTAAAAAAGTTTGCTTCGTTTCGCTTTTTGGTGTTCCTATCTATCATCTATTAGCGTCTTTCCTTTTGGCATATAATGTTCTTGAACGTTCAAAAAAACTATATAGTGAAATTAAAATCTAGAAACAACCTTATTTTGTGAGAATGCAAATCTCTTGGTAACATTTTCCATTTCAAAAAACAAGGTTGACAATGACGTCAACAGATCTTATCATCTAAGAATCTTCTTTGATTGAAATCAAGGTCATGGTAAATACAGATGTTATAATTATCTGATAATCTGCTAACGCTTTTTCTCGCATGGTTTGTAGGGTAAACTTTGACAGTGAACAACTTTAGACAAGTTAAATTTACTAATGATAGCATCTGCGCCCAAAAAGTAGACATTATTCATTAGCAAGGCGTGATTTCTTTTCTATTTTCAAGAGCAAGCAAGCAATCTCGATAATATTAGAAGGTCTCATTGACACTTACTTTCTTTTTCGAAAAATAGACAGCGTATGCAGCACGGCATGAACGTTCTTTCGTCTGCTGTTAGATAAACGGTTTCTTCTGCACCGGACAGGCTGTGTTAGAGTAGAAGTGGGTGGTATCTGTAGTCTACTCTCGTGACAAAATAGAACAAAATTTTTCATCTCTCTTTAACAAATAATCTGTAAAATTTTAGTCCAGAAGTTTAAAATGGAGTCACGGCTAATTTTTTAGCTGGCTGAATGGTCCCATGCTAGCACGAAAAACACAAAAACAATTATTTCTTGATAGCATCATCAATTCATCAAGCAGGATCCCTGTACAAATTTAAAACAAAATTTTCTCCATTTTCCTACCATAGGTGCCAGGGAACCATTTTCTAGACACTGACAGCTTTGGTCTGTTGGTTGTATTTCTTTTATTCACATTCGAAAAGAGCTGTGGGTTTGATTTCTAAATTGCAAGTTGCTCTAAAGGAACAGAAAGTCTTTTTTCCTTAGTAAAGTTCCTCTAGACTACAAAAGCTAGGTTGCGCTGTCCGACTATTTCGTGTTCTGTTTCAATGAATATCTATTTTTATACTTATAATTTCCATACATATTAATACTGGCGACTTAATATTTCAGGCATCAATAAACAACATATATCCAACAAGAATTGCATCAAGTTTTCTTTCTTTTTTAAGATGATTTGCTCTTCATTATCAACTGAAACTAAATCGATTTTGCTTATTCCTGCTAACTCCGTCTTTTTGCAACATATAAAGTTTCGTTTATTTTATTGGCTGTTGGCTTTTGCGTTGAAAAGTATCTTCAAAGTAGCAAATTGCTTATAACAATACTTTTCTGCTATGGTAGCATAAACATTGCTGTCTGATTTTGATTTTGTTGGAAAATAAAGAATGAATTGTATCAAGACCATCATTCATAGCTATTTCTCAAAAGTCTATAGAATTTTAATATTAGAAAAATACTGATAGCATTTACTTCTCCTTTTGATTTTGCAGAAAGCATGTCTGAAAGGAAGAGGTCAATCGATTCCTGCTCGCTATAGGTCACGTTCAAGTGTGGTTGGTGATAAGGAAGATCTAAAGGAAAGACAGATGATCGCGGATGTTTACTCCATAGCAAATAAAATGCAAACTCAAAGCACATTTTCATCATTGCTTACGTAACAGCACGCATGGAAATCAAATTAAAGTAATTCTTTACTTGCATATGTGCGAAACATCTCCGGTAGGTCTATTTATCCTTCGCTTAAGGCAAACAAGCCATTAGTATAAATAAGGTGCTGGATCTCTTAATCATTACCTACAGAAAGCAAAGACGACATCAGAACTCCAAGTATCACAAAACAACAAGTAAGTAAAAATGATTCAAATTTTTATAGCTAGTTTGCTGTTCAATTTTGAGTGTGTTGGATTTGCAATTGGAGCATGACAAAATGCAGCAATAAGCATTAAGCTATGAGTTGTAAATAAAATTGCATCATGTTTTCTAATGCGTATGCAGAAACCTGTACATTTCTGTTTTCAGTTATGAACCATAGAGCACTGCTTAAAAGATCTAGTATTTTTTCGTTCTTCTGGCGAATTTTTTTTTACCTCGTTTGTCTTCTTTAACTGTTAATTAGAATCACCGACACATAAATGTCAGATTCCTCTCTAATTTGTTTGAAACAGGCAAGAAAAACCATGAATTCTTTGCATGTTTCTAATTTTTTTTTGTTATAATTAGAGCGTCAGTGAGCTTATAGCTATAAAAGCATTTGTTAAAATGGTATGGCTAAAATTTTTTGACGCATTCTTTCTAGGAACGTAAATAAATCTGAAGTTGACAGCTTGAAACTCTGTGGTTTCTAAATATGTTCAAAAGTAACTTAAGTTGAAATCAGAGAAAAATCAATTTTTTAAACACTTTATTACAAACATTTTCTAGAACATTGACTTGTCACAATTCAGATCATTTAGGCTTTATGATGCTAGCTAATCTATTGATATAGAGTTTCTCAAATTCAGTAAATTGAACAAGATCGAATCAAATTTATGAGGTCACATATGTGGAATTTTTTCAAGGAAAATGATGTAAAGCTGGTTAAAAAGCATGCTGGTAAAAGTAGCTGCTTTTCATCTCCTATTTATGTGAAAAATCCAAAATCTTATATAATTATATTAATGATTTTAATTTTATCTATTACATCATCAGATAACTACAATGGCATTGAAAATTGCATCAGTTCTTATTCTATCTATGCTCCTGTCTTGTGTCTTATCAATGACGATCGAAAGGGAGCTGGCAGACTCAGTCAAAGATGGATTTTCCATTTTCAAAAAGTCTACTTGCAAAAACGATTGCTGGGGCAAATTTGAAAGTTGCATAAAGGCAGGTGAAACGCTGGCTGATCATTTGGTCTGCTTAGAAGCCAAAGATGGATGTTATCAGGCATGTTGAGCTTAAGCTAGCTGGCTAGCGTAATCTTCAGTCAAGATTTACACGTCTTTTTAGAAACAGTTAACAAATTGGCATTGTTGCAATGCAATTTCCTGTCAAACTTAGGATAGCTCTGTGCTAAAAATATTGCTGTAATTATGCAGAATAGATGTATTTAGTAATAATTTATTTTTGAGATGAATTTCGAAAAATGTTGCTTGATTATTTTGCTTGAAATCTGTTCTTTCATTTGTAGAAGCTGCATATTTTCAAAATTGACTCATCTAGGCAATATGAAAACGTTTAGTTTCGGTCGTAAACATGACACAGATATACGTTCGTTCTTTAACACTCGAATATTGAGTTGATTCAGAACAAAACTTTGCCTAGGATGATAAAAGCAAATTTTAACAGAAAGAACTATTGAATAAACATTCTTGATGAGAGTGATATGAACGAGAATGCTGAAGAATGAGCCCAAAACAATTCTAATTAGTTTGATTCAAAACTAATCAGCGATAACCGTTCAAGGAAACCTTGTGCTCTCCAAGAGAGTACTGAATGGGACTATTTTGTCGAATAGTACAGTAGTACGATTCCATAAATATACAAAAATGCGTGCAGTACAATATGATGCTATAATAACGATCAATGTAAGTAAATTGTACCAGGAAAAATTTTTCCTAGAATAATTAACGACGTTTCGAGCATAGCCCGTTATCAATTAAGATTGAAAAGCGATGAAAGAACTAAAAAACGTTAAAGGAATATGGAATTCGACAAATGGAATAGGAAGACGGATATAAGAGCATGGAAAAGAAATATATAGTACAGTAGAATCTTCAGGAAAGGATATCTCCATTCAACAGACAAATCTTAACAACAGACAATTTTCCCCCAGCTGATCAAAACTTTTATACAAGGTACCTCTATTCAAGGGACACCTCTGTAAAACGGACAATTGCCTGGCCCGAACAGTTCGAGGTAGACGGAGGCTCCATTTTAGTTGCACAATTCGCGGCATTGTAAATATGGTTTGCAAAGAGAGATCTGAGAATCAAGGAGGCAGAATAGCGTAAAAATGAAGAGATCTTCATTGTGGCGAATGGTGCTACTCCTTCTTGTCCCTTCCCCTTTTAATCTTTGAAATTCTTAGAAGATCCCTAACACGAGAGTTCGTCATCCCTTATGCAAATAGCCAGTCAGCTTTTTTTATGTACAATGCCTGCCAAAAGTCTTGGAACACTGACATCCATTTTCAAGGTCAAAACCAATCATCCCCCTCTCCCCCACGGAACAATGTTGGTTTACCATCAAACGGATTAGGATTTTAGGAAGCACTTTCTTTTGCGCTTCTTTTATGATATTTCTCTAAATCATCATCATTGTTTGAGGGGGAAGGGGGCGGAAGTAGCAAATTTTTTTCATGAAAGGAATGAAAGATATCAAATGCAGCGTAAATTGGTGGGTGTTCCAAGTACTTTTGGCAGGCATTGTAGGTAAAGCATGATTCAGCAATGTAAATATAATCGGTGTGTATAATCTTATTGACTGGTGTTTAGATATTCAACCCAGATTTTTTATCTTGATGCTGCTCTATATTTAGATCAAGCCAATTTATTGAAATAGGTAGAGTCAAAAGATTTCGACACGTAGTGAGATTTGCTGTTCAAAAGATCTGACTAATTAATGTTGTTGAATTGTTCACCGGGTAGTTTCCCTCTTAATTTCCAGTTCAAAAAGACTAAGTAGTGTTTCATTATTCATTTGTTGTGTGCACAATTAAAGAATTACATCTAATTCTTTCCACGTGGGGATTCTGAATATGTATCATATGGTTGCAATGTTAGACTACGGATTACACGGCTCATCCAGTTTCACAATTATAAGGGGGCCTGTGGCTTCAATAAAAATCTGATTAACATCTTTTCATGATTCACCTGTTACATTACTTCGTCATTTGAAAATCTTTCCGGGTGAATTACGTTCAATCCAGGTCAAAGAAAAGCAAGGAAGGTGAAGCTTAACATTTGATTAGGCTTCCTGACTGTAATCTTAATCTATCTTCCCACCAATGGGTTTACTGGCAAGGATTTTTAAACCACAAAAATTTAACAGTCTGATTTCTAAAAGACCAGGATAAGTCCTTATAAACACCTCTGGCCAGCAATTTTTGAAACGGGGGTTTTAGCAGCAGAATAGTTTGTAAACTTGAACAATTAAACAATTATGACACTGATTGCATGCAATAAACTTCTGGTGAAAGAGACTCAACTCTTAACATTCTGGAAAATTTTGTACGTTTTGGCAAAATTAGCATTTATTAAGTGTCTTCCAAAACATCCAAAACAGTTTTTAAAAAACTAAAAGTTCTGAGGAGATGTGGTTGTGCTTAATTTAAGAAGATAATCAGAAACAATGTGCAAGTTTGCTTAGTAATTTGCTAAATGTTGAATTAATGAACGAAAGCATTAAATCCTAGTTGAATTCTTTTTACATAGTTTTACACTGTACCATACACTCATTTTTTTTATAAGAAACAAAGGTCGATTTTGAGTACTCCAGTTTCTTAATGTTCTGGAAATTTCAATACTCATTGTTTCTTAAGAGTTTCCTAATTATGATGTTATGAATGATGTTATGAAATGTTCGTGACCTTTTTATCACGTCAAGAGATTCGCTTCCGTTCCGATGCTGTTTTTAGATGTGGGAAGTATATTTTATCCCTTACTTTTTAAGTTCTAGACCAACAGGGCAATCTTATTCTTGGTTTTTATAAAATTTCGTTGTTCTCAGTTTTATTACTTTATAAAAGTTTCTTAATTTTTTTGCTTCGAGTACTGAAGTTTCTTAATTTTTTCTGACTGTCCACTTCTCGTTTCTTATAGCCAGTTTCTTATAAAAAGAAATGAGTGTGCAATGTATTTTAAGTGCTTTCTCTCCATTGCTTTTCAGTTCAAATTCCAATTATAATTCTTTATCGTTATATCACAATAATTTTCTTAACTTAATCTGGCTAGATCTTTGCATAGCAAAATACCAATGTTTACTTCTACCAAAGTTATACAAAATATGAATATTTTGATTTATAAAACACATCAAAGAATCCAAATTGATTTTATGCCAAATTTGATCTCGTAAAAGTACTTTTCGTCCGACACTTTTCGAAGAATAAACGTCGAAATATGACTGAAAATAGGCAGAAATTTAAATACAGTTGTGGATCGAAAATAACTTGAGAGGAAGAAAGACACGATTGATTTGCTCTATTGTTTATTGGACGAAAAGTACTTCAGTATGCTGTGTTTCCGCTATTTCGTGCCATCTTCGAATTGTGAGGTTTAAAAGAATCAAAAAAATTAACCTGTTAAAGTAGTTATTTTATAAACATAAAAACCAATGGATTTGGCAGCTCGTGAATCCAAAATGCGATTGGAGTGATTGTTTTAAGAGTTCTGAAGTCCAACGATTGGGAGGTGTTTACAGATAAGCATATGAAAATAAAAATCAATAATCAGGTAATCTTCTGTTCATTTGGAGCTTCACTTTGAGTCGAGAAATTGAAAAGCTTTCTATCTTAACTGGCTATTTTGAACAGAAAGTACATTGGCTCGGACTATCTGCACAACAAATGCATGACCACTACATTGAGTATAACATGAAATGCCTGATGAGTGTCTTCATCTTCATACGAAAGAGGACATGTAGCAATATACAAACTGTTTGCACATGCCTACTTCAAGTAGGCATTTCATCGGTCTATAGCTCCTTAATTACCATAGCAACAGCAACAGGGTCTTAATAAGACTATTGAGCAGAAATTCACCGTTTCCTATTCGAGCCTGCAATGTAAATAGAGACGTGATTAGCCTCACAGTGATATTTAATACAAATGTTATCAAATTAGTGTGATTGAAAATTGAAGAGTGGTGTGAGCGAATTTACTAAGGGATTTTCGAAGATTTTACACGACGAAAAAATAGGCCACACTGGATTGTAATTTCCTCATTTGAGCTAAGCATGATTTGTCAAAAATTGCTGTATATATTGCCAACCACGCTGTTGATGATTATGTGTAAATCTTTAAGTTAACTTCTATCTCGCCAGATGACGTGGCGTTTAACACGTTTGACTGGCGTTTTTTTAGTTCTCGCCTTTCTTTTCTCATTTTTTATTCCAACCGTTGAGATCTGTTGAGATTTTTCGTGCAAACAAAAGTACTTACTTGTTTAGAAAATTCAAAGAGAATCAAAGTTATGTCTCCGTAATTGAACTGTTTCAGAAATGTTAGCATAAACATTGATTCAGGCTTTGAAGTTAGACATTTTGACACCTTCAGAAACCGCACTTGCAATTATAGCGTTTTGAAAGCCTCTAAAACGAAAAAAGAATACAACAATCAAAAAAGGAAATAAATCACATCTCATCCACGACTTCATTTCTTTAAATATTATGATATTGTCAAATGAACAATCAAAAAAGGAAACTATTATATTTTTGATGGTGTATTTGTCTTTTTAAAAACAGGTTTTTTCAAATCATTTATACCCGTGATATTGTGCTAATATTAATGAACTTGTATATATGTTTGTATCAAGTAGTCTAGACAAGAACATATCATCTTAACTAAAAAGTTAACGATCATGAACTTATCCTGAACAAATTTATCCTGAATAATTCTGAACCATTTCTGAGTACCATTTTTTTCTTTTTTGCGAATCTTTAGTATTTCATGCTTGCCAATTGAGAATTTTGCTCTTTTCGCTGTAACGTCCAGCTAAGTTGCTAGACTGGATGAATTTATTTGCCGCTAATATATTTTATATAAATGTCACAAGGCCACGAAGGCTATATCTTTTTTGTGTAAAAAGGAAGAAACACAGGACTTGCTATACCCTGGATTCTGTGAATTTTGTTCTTCTATACCTGATTTGCAATACATTTTATTTTCGGGATTTCATAAGTGAAAATTTTAATTCATGGATCAAAAATCACAAAATGTAATTTTACATGCTCTATATAATTTCAATTCCATCTAAAATCCTTAAGAGATTCGATTTTAAAAATGTCGTATTTCAACATCAATCTTTTAAAGTTTGATGATAAAAAGCATATACACAGTATAAGGTGTAAGAATTCGTTAAAATCGCCAAAGTAAGGTGAAGCAAAATAAAGTTAGCTATAGGTATATTGTGATGGCGACTGTTTCGT